GGTGTTGAGTTTCTAGAAATTTAACTATCTGTTTTGATTTTTTTTCTTGATGTGCTTCTTGGTGTATTTTTCTTGGAAATTCTTCTAAAATACCAATCTCTCTCTCTCTCTTCCATATTTTCAATTTAGGGGAATATAATCATCATTAAAAATGCTGTTAAAAACAACTGAGTCTAAAGTTAAGGAAAACATCTCCCTCCCAAAAATCTCAGGATTGCCGGATTTGCTAGTACTTTTTAATTCAATGGCCTTATCTCCAGATAACTGTATATAGCATAAAATCTGGAAGGCAGGATATGAGCTGAATATAATTTCTCTACCCAGAGAAAATGGTAGATGTCTTTGGACTTTTTTCTTTAAAATAACAGTTAGTTTAATGAATCAGAGCTTTGTAAAAGGTGGGAAACTTGCCCTTTCCTTTTCTCCACTACTTTTGCCTTAAGGTGGAATTTGAAGGCAATCAGTTTAAATGTTGAAGAAAAGGGATTTTTTCAAATACACATTGATGTTTTCAGGAGTTCTCGGAATTCTTTTTTCAAATTCAAATTTTTCATTTTTTAAAAAAAAATTTAAAAGCTTTTTATTTTCTTGCTACTTTGGTTAAATTTAAAGCAAAAGACAGATTGTATGTTTATGTGAATAATGCATATAAACACCAAACTCCACCCTCGAGCTCAGCACAATTAAGATAACTTAATTCTCAATTTTTCTGGTTGCAAAGAACAATTTCACTGTCTTTTTCTTTTTAATTATTTTATTCTGTCTTTAGTATTTTTATAAATAACTCAAAGCAGTGAACATACATAATACTCCTTCCTCCTTCTATTTTCCACTCAACAACAACCCTGTAAAGTGAATTGGACTGAGAATAACTAGCCCAAAGTCACCCAGCTGGCTTTCATGCCTAAAGTGGGACTAGAACTTACAGTCTCGTTTTTTTAGCCTGCTGTCTTAACCACTAGACCACGCTAGCTCTATCTGTATCTTCAACACTCAGGTTCCTTTTTAAGAATAACTGTTAAGAGAATACAAAGACCAGAAACAGTCAAGCCTTATGATGAAAATTCTTACAGATAGATGTATATGTTCAGCTAGCATTTCTTCCAGTGTCAAAACCCAACTGTCAAATGCTGAGCTTCAAAGAAATTCCTTTTAATGAGCTTTTTTTTTTTATTCCAGAAAGTGAAAGGCAAATATAGTCCCTACATTTCACAAAGATTATGTTTTTGTCCTAGAAGAATTTCAGAGTCTTTCCCATTTAGGAATAAAAGATTTAACCAAAGCTTCTCCCTTCCCTCTTTTTTAAAAGAGACACTCTCGAAGATCTCCTGGAAAAAAAACCTAAGTCCAAGGCCGAGGTGAACTTCAGGTCAACTTGTCTAACAAATATGAAAATGTCGCTTGGTGAAGGGCACGCCTTGTTATTTAACAAAGACTGTCAATGTGTAAGATTAATAAGGAACAAAATGTGCCCAGTGTCACTTTTCGGTTACTTTGAAACTCGGGATAGGGTTGTATTGAACAAAGAAACCTGGGTTAAATATACTAAAAATGCATCAAATCAGTGGCAAGGCACGATGCCGGGTTTGTTGATCAGCCATCTTTTCCTTTCGTCTTCTCTTCCAGGCACGTGTGGCAAGACAAAATGTGTGTGTGTGTGTGTATGTGTGTGTGTGTGTGTGTACACATTTTTTGCTTCAGATACACACTGCTCTTCTCTAGTCAGTGATCATCAAAGGAAGATAAATCTGCAATTTTGCTTCTCCAATATCAGATCTTGCAAAATACCCTTATAGCTTTTACTCGTTTCTTTTTTTAATTTCAATAAATTATCCCTCAGTCCAGACTAGCTCAAAGCAACTGCTGCTAGAATGTTTGATGGTGAGGGGAGTGAAATAATCTTCTCTTCCTCGAAAGTGTGTTACAAAGGAGGATGGTGCTTAACGCTGGCTAGGCCAGGTTTCTGGGTCCAGTATGTGTGCCTGTGGAACAGAGCATAAATCTCTGGAGACATAGGGGTGGGGGATGTGCGAACTGCTGCTGGAGAGATAATCCTCGGTGGTCTTGGCCCGGCTCTTGTTTATGATATGATAGGGAAACCATCAAGACAAGGAACAGACCCATCTCTGGAGTAGGAAAGAATCTCCTGAGAACCATGCAGCAGCTGATCGGCTTTGGTCACCTTGGAGATTTACGGGGCCTGTAGAGTAGAACCATTTTTATTTCTATGGAGTTGAGCAAAAGGAGGCATCCAGTGGAAGGCAGTGAAGGGAAGAGAATCAGGAGCACTAAATCTTAAGCAGCCCCTGGAATACTCTCGCCAGGTCGTATTCAGCAGACAGAAATAAGGTATTTGCCTTCTATGCATTATTATTATTATTGAAGGGAGTCCTAGTTTTTCAATAGTTCTAACTGCCCTCAGGTCCTGGAGGGTGGGGGGGGGGTTTCTTTCAAGAAAAAAAAATCAGAGTTGCTCATTGCAACTGCAGACTTGCTTCGGTTCCAAGTTGACTCCCATACAGGGATAGGGCCTTAACTATTTAGACTCATCCCAAGTCCTGTTTGTAGCAATCAAATATTGAACCTCCCCTCCCCATATCCAACCCGGATGGCAACATTCACACTTCCACTCTCACTCCTTTTTAAACCATAAAACAGAAGTGGAAAAAACCAGGGAAAAAATTGTTTCCCTTTGGGATCCAGTGGTGGGGTCTCCTCCAATGCCTACAAGTGTTTTATGGCCTACCCCAAAGAAATGACATCTGACTGCCTTCCGCAGAAAAGCATGCCAGAAAAAAAATGCTTCATAAAAAGTCGGCTGGAGATGATAAAAGGGAAATTGCTGTGCCCATTAACAGAGAAGACATATTTCTGTTATTAGCTAAAAACCTGGTCTTTGATTTTATAGGTCAGAGTTCGGGTGATAAAGAAAAGAGGCAGTGAGGAAATTAGGTAGGAAATGCAACACAGATATAATAATTTTAGTAATAAAATCCTTTTAATGAAAGAGTAACGCTGGGACATGCACAGCTCCGCATAGCCCTCATTCCAACTCAAAATATTTGGTTAGAGGATTTTAATTTGGAAGCAATTATACTTATCCACACATAGATCATGGAAGATAAAATAATCACAGAAATCTACATTTGCAGTGAAAGAATGGGGTAACTGACCCCTGATCTCCTGCTGATTAAGAAATCGGATGAAAACAAGGACAAACTAGAAACTAACCTGTGGGATAATACTTTAAAATGTTATTGTAGCAGCATAGTTTTTGTGGTATAGTATACCTGTCTATTCATGAGAAACTCTGATGGATTCACTCTGATTTATTCCATTTCCTTGATTTATTCTCAAGGAAATGGCCATAGGCTTGGTTCTCTATTGTAAGGATAAAGGAAAAGGGCCTCTCGCTATACTTATGTGTTGGTTAAACAGATTTAGAACATCACAGTTTATGCATTGGCTTCCTTATTCCTCTTGTTTTCAACAGTGATGGCAAAGATTAAAAAAAAATCTTTCAGCACTGTTAGAATACATAAAAACATTTCTCTCACGTGAAGGCAATAGTTTTCATATTAGTCATCTGGGCTTCAAGTAAAATTGGGTTTCTGGTAACTTCTTGAATATGCTTCCTTATTAATACTTGCAGGAACGACTTCATCTTTCTTACTTGCTCTTATAATTAATTGGATTTCTGTTTGTTTTTGTCTATCAACTTTCATTTCGTATCTGCATCTCTAAGAAATGATCTGCCACTCTAGATTTGCCATGGGGTGTTGGGTATTTAGAATAACTAAATTACAGTAAAAACACCATTTCTGAAAGCCCTGGAGAAGGATTGGAAGGAAACAAAAGCTCCTTACAATTAGTTGGTCTCTGTTTCTTAGTATTTAATAAATTCATTGATTACTACTGTTCCTTACCCTTTATAAATATTCCAAAATTCACTAAATACACCATACTGTTCATTCTCATCTTTAGCTGGTTTGGTTATCCTTTCAAAAACAGAACAGGGGAAGAATAGACGCAGGGGGAAAAAAGATGTACAAAGATTTGCTTGCACAGTTGTGTGTGTAGGGGAGGGGAGAAACTTATGCAGAACGAATTTTCCTATAGCTAAAATCTCTCCTCTCTCTCTCTCTCTCTTCACATAGTCACTCACATCATAGCTTGTATTCAAGAACAATAAATCTAGAATATAGATAACCTTTGTTTCCTTCACTTGATGGGATACAGGCTTAGGATCTTCAGAAAAACTGATAATTGCTGGAATTCTTTAATGAATTTCTCTCTAAAAATTACAGAAACAGTAAGGGGATCTTCTACAGATTATTGCTTTAATTTCCACAACCCTGAAACCAGCCGATTTGTGATTAAGTGAACTTGGATTTAAGAAAGGCTCCTAAACCAATAAATTAGGATTTCAGAAACCACAAAACCCTTGACAGGTTGCATTTGCAGAATTCTGTAGCCTTTTAAAACTTAAAAACGGATCTGATGCTATTTTCAGAGACCTTCCTTCCTTCCGTCCATCCGTCCTTCGATCCTCATTTTACCAAATAAAATCGGACAGCACCGCTTCTTCCCTGAACGGGAAAAGCGCACGTAGGATCATCCTGCGTTTCCTCAACGAATCTTCCTTCTATTTCCTGATCCGGGCTCTGCCAACCTCATAGCAATTGGCCCTGCCGGTCAGGTGGTGGGGGGTGGCAGTGGTATGTATCTCTTTGTGTGTACGTACGTACGTGTGTGTATATTTGTGTGTGTGTCTGTCTGTCTTTGAGCGCGCGTCTATGTATCCGAGCTCGCGCGTGTGCTTTGAGCTTTTAGGGTGGGAATTCCAGAAGGAGGGCGGGGGGGGGAGTGGAGCCCCAAACTTTGGCGGGAGGTGCTTGACAATAGCGGCGGGAGGGGAGAGAGGAGGAGGCAGAGAGGAAGGGAGGGAGGGAAGGAGGGAAGGAAGGAAGGAGGAAGGGGCAGGAGGGAGGGGCCTCCTCGAGACCAGAAAAACGACAACGCGAGAAAAATTAGTATTTTTGCACTTCACAAATTAATGACCATGAGTTCGTTTTTGATAAACTCCAACTACATCGAACCCAAGTTCCCTCCTTGCGAAGAATACTCAGAGCTCGGCGGCGGCGGCGGCAGCGGCGGGAACAACTACCACCCTCCACACTCCCACCAACACCCCCATCCCCATCATCCCCAGCAACAGCAAAAACTACGGCAGCTGCACCTGCGCCAGCCTCTTCCCGATTTCTACCAGCGGCCGAGCAGAGAGCCGGGATACCAGCCGCCGCAGACCCCCGAGGCTCGGTACCTTACTCAGCCCCCCCACTACCCCGAGTCCCCATACGATTACAGCAGCCTCAGCGCCACCCATGGGCAGGAGCATCCAGCTCCCGGAGCCTCGCCACCCCACTCAGCGCCGCTGCCGCCGGCTTCATCAGCTCCTGCCCCCAAGGGCCATCAAGTGGCCTCCCAACCCTTGCTCCAGGGCCACGGCCCACAGCCTCAGCCCCAGCAGCGTGCTTATGAAGCAGCTCTGCGAGCACCTTCCGTGGGGAGTCCCGGCTGCCCCCTTTTGCCCGAAAAGAGCACGCCCGGCCTCAAAGGGAAGGAGGCGCCGGTGGTGTACCCCTGGATGAAGAAGATCCACGTGAGCACGGGTGAGTTGCCCTCCTTCAGAGGGATCTGGGACTGAGCGCGGCGAAGTCCCCGGAGGCTGGGCTAGGGCTGGACTCGGATCTGAGGTAGCACTGGGGAGAGGGCGCATTTCTAGTTTTAAAGTGAAACCCAGAAAGAACGAAAAGTGAGGACCCCTTTTGTAGGTGGGGCCCTTGAGCAAGAGATTTACTATGCCAAGCTATTAGGGCAGTAATTATGGCCCCCATAAATTTAATAGCTCTGGCTCTGGGCGGTAGGTCTTTGAGCTTTCCTTGACCCCAAATGCCCACCACCATTTTTACTGATCCCTAATTGTCCCTTCTTGTCAAGAGCCTGCGAAACCCTTTCTTCCTATTTTAAAAAGGAGCCTGGCGGCATTGAATTTATGGCACAATAATGATAACCTTCCCTTGCCTTCTTCTTTTGTGCATCCGGGTATGTGCGTGTATACCTGCATGTGTGGACGCTCAGTCAGCCCCAGCTACAATGGAGGTGAGCCAAAAAGATCTCGGACTGCCTATACAAGACAACAAGTCCTGGAGCTGGAGAAGGAGTTCCATTTTAACCGCTACCTGACCAGGAGGCGACGCATTGAGATCGCGCACACACTCTGTCTGTCTGAGCGGCAGGTCAAGATCTGGTTTCAGAACAGGCGGATGAAGTGGAAGAAGGATCACAAATTGCCCAACACCAAGATGCGCTCCTCCAACAATTCTGGTCTCCACCAGCCAGCCAAAGCTGCAGCCCAGCATCACCCACCAACTCCCAGAAGCAGGGCCACTTTAAACTCAGCCTCACTATGATGGCCAGACTCACTTGGAGAAAGAGACACTCGGGGAAAGAGACACCCTAACATTTCTCCAATGCTTGCCTCTTTTTCCTTTTGGCCTGGGGACCAAGCAATTGCACTGGGGGTAGAAACAGCAGAATAAAAATCTGTGCTGAAAAAAGCACATGCGCCATTCAAACCAAAAAGTAAATAAGCTTTGGACAGTATTACTCCTTTATAAATATGTCTTGCCCTCCATGATCTTTTTTTTATTATTTATGGGAGCTTTGGATGGAACAAATGTTTAAAAACCACTCTTTGTATAAATGTTTTGAGGCAACATAGTATTGATAAGTGACTTTGCATGTAAATCCTAGGCTTGTGTTGTTCTGTGGAATGTTTGTTCCTGCACCCTTGGAAGAGGCAGAAGTAAACTAGTCTGATTTCACTAAAGTCATTTGGAAATTAGGGTGGGGGGGGGGACACTCAGCAACCACACAGTCTCATCCCTAACTGGCTGAAGAAAGTGTTTTCCATGTATCAAGAGTAATATTTTTTTTAAGTGTAGTTCTTGCTCCAGTTGTGATAGTAGTTTCCCTAACATTGCATTTATTATTTTTAAGAAAAATGAACCAATGTTGCTCTAAAAGCTCAGCCTATACTCATGTCATATCACAGTCCATGTCTATGAACAATATGTGAATTCTATATGTACACATTTGTGAAAGTGTGTTGTGTGTGTATGTATATCAATGTATATATAAATATATATATATATATATATAAATATAATGTCCAGTGCTGTTAATAAAGAATATTCTGTACAGAAATAAAATTAAAAGCACTAGACCCACTGCCAGAACCATGCATTTCCAAGATCTGGGTTTTGGTTGACACGTTGTAGCCAGGTCTTATTTAAACAAGTAGCTATATTGATTGATTGGGTTTGACATCAGCTGGTAAAGGCTGAATTTTAGTATTAGTATTGTAATCAAATAGTATCATTCAGAATTAACACAAAGTATATTAGGTGGAATAAGTCATGCTGATTTCCAGAGCACTGATTTTCACACAGTACCTGAGTCTTAGGCCCCTGTGAGTACAAGGAGGTGGGAGAAAGTCCTATTGAAATAAACTGGACTAGAGTGGGGATGATGGGTTAAATAGGATGTTTCTAAGGTACCCAGCTTGTCACATTCTTCTTCTTAAGTAGGCAACTGAGTTTAATCCTGATACCTATGGAAATCCACCCATCCTGCAAAAACAATTCAATCTTTTTCCATTCTTGTTCAGAAGCTTTGTGTTTTGTGTGTATACTATATTGCTACTTCTATGCAACCAGAAATAGAGACTCTTCAGTACGCTGGAGGGAATGATTAATATTATTCTTATCACACTAGCCGTACTTTTCACCATATTGTAACTGTATCTTTCTTTTGTTTATTTGTTAGTGGTAGCAACTTTTCTTTCAGTTTTAATAACACACCACTTCTTGGATTATAATAAATCGGCATCCTTCATGCCAAACAATGCAGAGAGCAAGAGAGAGGGAGGGAGAGAGAGACAGACAGACAGAGGACTACCACATCAGGGAGATGGTCTTGATATAACAGTTTTACAGCTGATATTTTGGATAATTTGTACAATGTGCACATATAAAAAAAATCTTCAATTTAAAGATAGATTGAGATCTTATTCTAAGTAGCAAAACACCTTCAGGCCTTAATTGCCATCTAGAACAAGAATTTCCTTGTGGGTGGCAAATGTATGTGGTGCAATGAAACTTAATCCTCTTTTAGCTATTTTTCACTGGTAGAGAGTCCTTTGCAGAGTTTTCAGAGAAAAAGTGGCAAAATTTAACTGAAATATATGAGAATTCTTCTGAGCTGGGGAGGGTCACAATATTGACAGTATTAAAATGTCATATTGTTATGAAAATAAATTTCAGGCCAAACAGAGAAGCCCAAACTGGGTCTCCCTTAAAACCTGAAAGACATGCTTGGTCTGAATTCTTTAATGAAATAGAAGAAAATGGCACAGAAAACATGGAGGCTTCCCTCCTGCTTTTTACTGAGTGTCTTTGTCTAAACTCTGTGTTTGGCATGAAGATTTTTCTTCTGATAATTTACAGAAACTTATAAATGAAGAGGAATCTTCAAGGTGTTTAATCAGCTACATATGTAAAAGATTACAAATCCTCTTTTACTTCCCAGGATTTATGCTGGGTGCCCCCTTCCCCTCTCTTTCCCTGTGGTTAAAAAAAAAGCAAAATGAAATCATGCTGAAAATAGCAATTTTACTGGGAATCATTAATCACCTCCTACAATAAATACTTCTTTGTAATTCAACAGCGATTCTGAAAGGCATTCTCTTGGAAAAAGTCTGCGAAGACACCGAAGGATTTTCTTGGGGAAAATGTGTTCATGTATAAAAGACACAGTTGCTTGGCTGCACCCTGAAGGTGTATGCTTTCAGGGTGGAGTATCGGACCTGGCAGAAAAATACATATGGCAGATTGTCACCATTCAAGGTAATTTTAAAAAATTATTCTATGGATCTTTTCCCATATTGTCACTTAAATGTGTAGTTGCACTTGGGAATGGGGATAGGCATGGGGGAGCAGGAGAGAGAGGTTGTGTTGTTATATGGCAGTGCCCTGGATTTCTACCTTAGCTGGCCTAATTAATGTTACAATTGTTCCAAAAACTACAGAGTAGGAGTTTAAACCCTACTATTGTCCTGTCATTGTACCGGGGCAATGAGGAGAGTTCACCGAAAGGACACATTTTCTGTCCCATTAATTGTTTTTTTTAAAGAAGCAGACTGACCAATCAAACCCTTGACCTTTAAAAGCAGTATCCATTCTAATCTGATTCTTGGGCTTAAGCATGCTTCTCTCTTTTTTTATTTCCTCCCCTCCCTCTCTGTGTCTCACACACATACATAGATGTAAAACATCTTTGCCCAGTTATAAAGGAAGACAATTCTAAAATCAAGTGTTTCTTTAATGTTGTACATGTGGGAAAAAAGAAACGAGAAAGACATCTCCATTCCCAAAATCAGTCCAATGTAAGCCTGCTGCTCCCATACAAGGCAGAGCAGGGCAATGAAGGCTATTTCTTCTCTCCACTCCAGTTTGTGGGGTGACACAGAGATTTGTTTGTTTTTGTTTTGTTTTGTTTAATCCTCACTTGTGGAATTCATGCAAACCCTTAAGAATCCTGGCTATGCAGGCTCTAGAAATGGTCTGTCATTTTAGCCAGCAGCCACAAGAAATTACAGTACATGTTCTGGTGGGGGAAGGATGGGAAGAGGAAAAGAAGGCTGAAGAGTATTTCCTGTTGCTAGTGTCTCTATTTTTCAAGCAGGAATAAAGGTTAGATAGATAGAAGTGTGGTCATTTCTTTTCTGGCTTTCTATTCTTACCATCTTGTTTACTCTCTTTTGACCTTATATCAATTCTGGGACTGATTCTCATTCCCACCACTCCTGTCCTTGAGTTATATGGCCACCAAAATTGCAGAGCTAACTTCAGGGAGGGGTCCCCCTTTCTTCCTCCCTTCCTCCCCCTAAATAAAAATTAAAGAAGAGTGCTTTTTTGTTTGCTTAGCTAGGTCCCCACAGAAATATACAAAAAGATCAATATCGAGTGACACCATTACATGAAGCAACCTTAGTGTGAACCAACTGGAAGACCAATAAACAAGAAAGGGAAGCTTTCGCTTGTGATTTATGACAGGCACAGAAGAGTATGATTGAGACTGGTGAAGGGACTGCACTGCATGGCTTTTACATTGCAAGAGAGAGCAATAGAGAAAGGACACTTGGTAGGGAAATTCTAGCTTAGCCTTTCTAGCCTAATGTCTTCCAGATTTTCTTGAGCCCAGCTTCCTTGTTAAAAGCTATGGAAAGTTTTTCTAGATTTCAGCAAATAGAGCTTTTGGGAAAATCTGACTATCCTTAAAATGGGGAATGGATTAACCAGGGATGGACAGTGAAGTTGACACTGTTTTTGAGCACTGTGGGATTTTGCAGATTTGTTTGAAGCTTCTATCTAATGCTCTCCCCATTCCATAAGTAACCTTCAACGATGGATTAAGACCACTTCTTTAAGATCGTGTATGCTTGGATCATAGCTGAACCTGCTGGCCACCAACAGGCCTAGGTGTCTCCTTCCTGATATGGTTTTAGTACAAAATAAGCCAGATAATGCTGAAATCCATCTGAATTTAGTGGGATGGTTTCCCACAAATTAGTTATATTTAGTTTCAAATTACATGTGGGAGACATTGATTGACTTGTCTCATTAACTGCAATCAGACCTAAGAACAGTTAAAGTCATTTTCACACTACTGATTTTAGCATCTTCTAGAATCCTCCAGCCATACTGTAATGACAGAAAGCCTATTCTCATTAATGATACTACTCTAGTGATAACTTGAAATGGTCTATGACCATAATCCTGTGTGTGTGTGTGTGTGTGTGTGTGTGTGTATGTATGTGTGTGTGTTTCTATCGAGGCACCTGTCTCAAGGGTATGGCTAGCTGATGAGAGCTAAATAGCTTGAAATAGATTTATACTAGTCTCCCTTTATTTCTTTATCAGCGAAATATAAATTTGGTATAATATATATATATGTATATATAGGCCTAAGCTATAGGAGCTTGACTTGACTCCTAGGCAAGTCATTCTCTCTAGCTCAAACTACCTCACAGGTTTGTTGTTGTGGGGGGAAATAGGAGGAAGTTGTGTTGGATATGTTCATTGTCTTCAGTTATTTGTAAAAATAATAATTTTTACATAATAATGGATTTTTCTTTTACAAAGTAAACGATACAAATAAATGAAAATGAAACAAATAACTCTGCTTAAATTTAGTCCAGCTCCGGCCCAATGAAGCTTAGTTGCAATTTGGGTTGTTGTTATCTGCTGGCCAAAATGTTTCATGCCTTTCATACCACATTTCAGGAGAATGTTGGCCTTCCAAGTGTTTTCTATGGATTTGATCAAAGGCTGAAACATTTTCCTTCCTAAAAGAGTGTTAATATTCCTGCAAACTGCACAATTAATCCGGATTTCATCATCCTCCATATCATTCAAAGAAATGCCATAGATAGGGAATTATGAAGCATTTGATAGCCTTTCTTGGAAGGGCCTGCCTATCTGGCCCCCCATCACAAACACAGGACTGGAACAAAAACCCAGCTATGCCCCTACCTGCAGCTGACAATACAAATTCGAATCCCAGTGACTGATTGGGGGGGGGGGGAAAGAGCCTGTTTCATTCTCCCTTAGTTTGACACTCCACCCCTCCACCCCGCGCATTATTGATGCCCAAACGACCTCTTCGAAAACTGAAAAACTGTCAGAAAGCGGAGAGAAGGGTTCAATAAGCGGCTGGAAAGCTTCTGCTAGGATAGATAAAGGTATTGCCTCTGTTCTCAGAGTATTGAAATTTTAATCTAGGAAGAGGGACGGGGGGGGGGGGAAGGGACATCACGTGGCAGATTAAATAATTAATGCCGGTCTCTAGCAATGAATCGGTGGACGTCAGTTCTCACTCGAAGTGAAGGGTAGCTTCCTCTTTCTTACCCCCAACTCTTCCACCCCACAATCTTTTCGTTAAAAAACAAAGCCAAACCTACCCGCCAGCCTTTCTGATGTATCTTTGCAAGAGTCTTTAAGCCTCTTAAGCAAGCAATAAGGGGGATTGAGGTAGTTTGGTAAATACGTAGGGACCAGCCTTGCTCCTTGATCGAGGTTCATTGTTTGAAGCTGGCTTGCTTCGGGGGAGCAGTTTTTACCAAAGGTTGAAATCTCGCAGACAAACGGCTTGGCGGTCAGTTCTGCTATCCGGGCGATTCATCCTTCGCCGAGGCGAAATCGACTTGATAACTCACTTCTGGTCCTCATTTCTCCCTGGGGAAGGTTGCCTGCCCCCGCGAGGGAAGGCGGATTTTGGTTGCTGGCTCTAAATTTTGCAGGGCTTCATAAATTACCAGCTTCTCCATGAAGGGCTAAACAAGAAACGGGAGAGCAGGAAGCATCGTGAGAAAGGGGAAGGGAGATGCGAGTGGGTGGCAGTCCACACTGAAGTCTGGGAGGGAGGCATTCTTCCTAACTCTTAGTTAAGCCGAGCGATTTACTACGGAATGAAAATATCGCTATTAAGGGTCGATTTGGGGATAACAAGAAATTATCATCTTCTGGTAAGAGCTCCGAGGCTACTTCGCAACTTTTGAGATGGAAAGAAGACTCCTTCCAACCGCTCTGGCAGCCTAAAATCCCACGATGTGCTATTTAATCGCTCTCCAATACACCCTAATTTCTAAGGGCAGGAATGCATATTTAATAATAAATGTACAAAGGGAAAGAGGGCTCAACCCAAAGAAGGCAATTGATGTGATGATTTTACAAAGCGATGCTTGCTTTTTTATTTATTTATTTAAAGGAGATAATGGTAAAGTAGCAGAAATATGGGGAGGGAGGACAATATTGAGCCCGCCTGAGTACTCAGTTTAGCAGTAGATATCTGATGCAATCCACGGGCAATTCTAGAAAGCAAGCCGCCGCCCCCCCCCCCAAATAAATTACTATGGCTGCTTTTCTCTTTCTCAATGGCTGTTTAGCCAAAAAGTTGACATTTTGCTACTTCCTACCTCTTAGGCAAAGGAACCAATTACCGAAATCCAAATTCTATAGGGAAACGTTTTCCAAATGGAACAGGGCCTTTTAAAAACATTTGTGGCAATGATCCTCCAAAAGAAAGATGGATCAATACTGGACACTCACTTTTACTAGCCACGTGAAGAAGGATCATTCATATTTCTTTTAAAACCTGGTGCAGATAGAACCAGAGGAGGAAAAGATGAGCAAGACAGCCATTATTAAATATGGTTGAAGAAAACTTACTGTTGAGGTCAACAAGCTTATCCACTGTTTTTACTAAGGGACCCACAGAAGACAGACACACAATTATTCTAACTCTCCTGCTTCCAACTTCCCAGTCTTTTTAAAGTTATTATTCTTGATTCTGAGTCAGTGTTGATGGTATATCAAAACTTTATTTGACTAAATGATGCTAAGCAATGATTTCCCAGACATAAAAATACATGTTTCTGATAAGAATTCTATTAAAAGAAAACAGAGGTCACTTATTACAAAATTATCTTTCAATTTCATCCATACTGTTGCAAACAGCATCATTATTGGTATTGATATCCATTTCCTTTTACTAATGTTTTTGCTGTTCTCTAAGCAAAATAAAAAGTTGATTTTGCTAATATTGTATCTTTTAAAGTAGCTAAACAGTCCTTTTCCTTCCTTTCACTTGAAATTAATTATCTATAACTTCAATACTTTTTAATTGTTGGTTTATCTCTTGCCTGTTCTTTGTTTACAGCATTCCAGGTCACGGGAAACTATGATTTAAAGCAGTATACAATCTGGAAACAATTCTGTCCTGGGCTGTAAGAACGAGGAGGTAAGAACCTTGTTGGAGGTGGTGGGAGGAAATTAAACTTCTTGTACAACAGTTTAAAATAGTTTCATGTTGCAGAGAAGAGGACTTGGTTTGAAGTACTTGTTAGAGAGGTAACTGCAGAGTTGGGGTTTGATAAATAGCTAAACCGGTTGGAATTTTCTTCACTGTGGTCTATTCATCTCTCTTGGTCAGTGAATGCCCTTCTTGTTAAACAAAGAAATACACAGAGCTTAAGTAAGAGCAGTTCTCTGAGCTCCATTCAAATCAGGCAGCTTTGCACACCGGCTGGAAAGAGCCAAAGAAGTAAAATGAATATGCATTGGGGGTTGAGTGTCAAGATATAAGACCAAGTTGATAATTAAAAGGTTTACACTGATGGACTGTTGATAGTGTTTTTTCTTTCATGATTCCCAAAGTGTCTCCTAATTTTAGAATGTTTTGCATTAAAACAGGAGAGAAAGAATAGAGTTTTAGATTTATTTTTTTTTAAATGTGGGAATATTATCAGTGTTGATAATACTTCTAGGAATGTGGAGGATCACTTTTACTTTTTTAAAATTCCTTGGAAAGCCTCTGGATGCAATGAAAATGGATTGATTGAAAACTTTGTTGTACTCTACTTTTGATGTTAAAGTTCTCATTTCATTCAAATTTCTATAATTGTTAAAAAGATTGTTCTACTAGGATTTCAGTGGATAGTTATTTGAATTGTCTGCTAAAATTACTCAGAATTGAAGCAGATTTAGGTTAGTACATGCTTAAAGATAGCCATAAATTATAATGTTACAAAGGTTTGTTATGCTGATATAATAGCTTGTTCAGGTTCTTCCTTTTAAAGAAGCCCCAGAATCTTGAGTCTTCGCTGTTCCAAAATAAAATATTGTATTTCAATATAAAAATATTTAGAAAGGGAGAAAATTAAAGATGCTTATTACTTAACTGCTTGAGATTTAATACATTATCATTCCAGACCCAACTTTCAGTGTTCTAAATTAGCCTTAAAAAATATCCCCTTTATTTATTTATTGGTACAAAATTTATTCATCCTTCCCCACATTTCTCTAATAAGAAAATATTCTATCTTAATAAGTACAGTTAGCTAATAATAGTCAAGGTATATGTCTTCCAAAACTGGAACAGATTTTGCAAATGGAACTATAAAACTAAGCCCCCTACCCCCACCCCCACCCCACACATGCTACAGCCATATACTTTAATATAGAATCTTGTTTCTTTTTAGGTATAAATGTTAATGTAAAAGTTAAAGGTAAAAATAAAAACAAGAACTAGCTTCATACACTACAGATGTTATATATGTAAAATTGAAATTCTGATGTTAAAAAAAGAATTTTATTGTAAATAGACACCTGACAAACATACACACACACACACACACACAATCTCCAAGGCTTCAGTATTGTAGATATTTATTTGACAGAAAGTCCCACTGAAATCAGTAGGACTTATAATAGATATGAATATGATTTCTCTTGGTAACTCAAGTAGAGATTAGCAACTGATTATGGTTGAATCCAAAAATCTTAGCCATTTATTTGGAAAGCAGTGACCAAGGATATCAGTGCCTTTCTCCTTTTTCTTCCAAAAAAGTTTGTTTGAGATCCCAGCTCAGATCTGTTTCATGTTTCTCCAGCCTGGATTCTGTGACTACATGAACAAGTTTATCTTCACTCCATCTAAATCCTCAAATAAATTTAACTTTTTAAGGTCTCCTAAAGTGTTCAAATCTCTAGCTCTTTGAGGTGGTAGAAAAACGTCATGGTGAATTTCTACCAGAAAGACAAAAAACTAGATGCCTAGAAGATTTTTTTTTTTTTTAAATAGTCACATACATCTTCAATGATTACTGGAGTTAATAGTTCAACAGCAGTTTTCACATTAACACAGCACCAAGAAACAACTTCAGAGAAATTCGATCTTTGAAAATCAAAGAAAGATTTTCTAGGTAGGCCTGTAAATTGAAGTTGCACTTTAAATTTTGGATAATCATGATTGCTTTGGAGATTTCTTTTCACTTTTGACTCCAAGCAAAACTGTTTACTTATAACTAAAGGTTTATGTTTTTCCCTGCACCATTTCTCATTAACCATTAATTATAGCTTCATGTTGTCCAAAATGTTCTGGGGTCTCTTGACTGGGTTAAAACATTGCCTTAAATAACCTGTGAAACCCTTCGGAACAGAAAGTTGCTCTTGGTTTGAGATTAGCTTTTGCTAGCAGAATTCTGAACAATGGTGGTACTGTAGAAAAGCATATGCTAGCTTTTAAAGTTGCACAAATGCACTATAATTTATGGCAGATTTAGGCAACAGTCAAAGGGCTGACTTCTGCTTTTTGGAGGGTTTAATTCTAGGCACACTTACCTGAAAACAAAGTCATGAAAATTACCTCCAAGGAAAATGTGATTTAGGAGCATTATTTTATTGACTTCAGTCAATTTGCTTTTGCAACTTGCTGAAGTCTGATTTCACAACAGTAAATGCAACTTGTTCCCAAATAAACATGCATAGAATTGCAGTGTTTAAGCAAGACTTTTGCTCTACTTTTAAGGCAACCTGTTATTAAAGTGCCTATTTGCTAGTTTGAAAATATCTTTCCTAAGAGCCAGAGAAGCTCAATATCCAATGTTAGACTGGGGAATTCTCTGAATTCTCTGACAAATTGAAAAAAAAATTATTGAATCCATGTGCTTCCACATTGTTGCTGAATATGTTTTTTTTTCTGGTGTAACCATAATCCAGCAATCTTTTAGTCAAGCACTCTTAAAATGAATTTAAAGTTAAAGAAAGTTGTGGGATTGTTCAAAATTGGACCATAAATTAGTGGAGACGATAAATTTCATTTTCTCACACATTTTAAATTCATAACAAAGAGAGGGAATGGAAAGAGGCAGAAACAGCTTGACAGAGTGTTGAAAGAAGCAGAAGGCTAAGAGCTATTTCTCATGGTACAGTTGAGAGGAAATTCCTTGGTAAGTAGAAATTCTCTATTAGAACTACCAAAGTGGGCCTGATAGAAGAACAATCTTATTTCTTCATTATTAAAAGTATTTAACACCTCCTAGGTTAGAAGACACTATGGAAATGAACTGTCCAGAAACAAAAACAAAATCATTTTTTAAGTTCACTTAAAAGTCTTATTACCCTTCCTCTTTGTTTTCAAAGTTATCGGTCTTTAGACAGTTATATTATTATTTTCCCTTAAACATTTCATTGTTCTAGATAGAACCTAGTAATTTTGCACATCACTCAAGTACTTGCATAGGAAATGCGTAAATGCGAGTTGAATGAGGCGGTCCCAAAGTTTTGGCGAAATTTAGATCTACCCTCCAGCAGGCAGATGCTGTCCTCCTCCTCCTCCTCCTCCTCCTCCTCCTCCTCCTCCTCCTCCTCCTCCTCCTCCTCCTCCTAGGCCATTAACAGGACAAGGACAGTTACCCAGTACTTTCTATCGGAAGGTCCTTTGTCAGGTAATTTAAACTCTGGTGTTTCATGTGGGTGTTGAGCAAGCCCCTCTCAATAGACTTACAGAAGAGGCCATGGGATGGCTGATGGTCTGAAGGGCTTCTCTGCAGAAATCCAGATGAAGTTCATCTGCTTTGTGCCCAGTGGCCTTTCCCTCCCTCCCCCACCCACCTCTGAAGGGTCACCAGAAAGGTTTCATTCTACAGGGCATCTGATTCGATGAAAATAATTATTCTTACCTTCCCTCTAAAACTTACACGGAAAACAAAATCTGAATATGTGGGTTGGGAGGATAATAATAAACGTCTCCAGCTCATGGTTTTCCCCTCCCTCTTCTGAAATGCCCTTGCTTAAAGCTTAAGAGGAAAGAAGAGAAAGCAAACACACGCTCTCTCGCGCGCACACACTCACACATGCGCGCGCGCACACACATACACCAGAGGCTCGCGCTTCCAACCCTGATTCCTTCAGCGATTCCCGATTTCAAATAAAAGGATTTAAGTTGACGTATGACCACGTGAGCACATAATACAGCGCATTATTGTGCCATTTGGAGTGGAGACCCGGACTGGCTTCGTCTGCGATTACGCTTCCCAGTTTCTGTTCAGAGCAAGGACTGCTTTCTGTTATCCATCGCCGGTCCCCCCCCCGCCCCCCGAACGCTGCGATCACCCTCGGGAAGTCTCCGTTTGGGCTACCGCACTTGATCCTGATGGAAAGGTTATTATTGCCCGGCTGTTAGGGCGAAATGCTTCGTTAAAAAAACAAAAAACAAAAAGCAGGGAGACAGAGAGAGGATGGATTTTATTTTAAGGTATTTCCGTTGATTGTTCCTGGCGCGCGCGCGACTTCCAGCGGGGCTAAGCAAAAGTCCGGGGGAAAGGCTTAAGAGGGCTATGGAGAGCCGTTCACTTCGCCTTCCTCTTTGTTTCGCTGGGCTTGCGAAAGAGTGCTTTGCAACGAGCAGAGAACTGTCCCCACCCCGTCTCCGGTCCCTACTCAAAAGGTTAAGATTCCTGTGAATTGTTCCAGACTGGGTTTTCTTTTTTTTTTTACTAAATGATGTAGGGGTTCCTTTTAAAAGTCAAAATATAGAGGAAGAAGAGAGGCTTGTTTTGATGTTGCTTGTTTCTTTATTTTTACTATTATTATTATTATTATTATTATTATTATTATTATTATTATTATTATTATTATTATTGGTTTCATGAGCGTTTTGACTGTGATCACAGTCAGAAACTAAATGCTTTTCCTTCCTTCCTTCCTTCCTTCCTTCCTTCCTTCCTTCCTTCCTTCCTTCCTTCCTTCCTTTTTGGGGGGGGGGGGGCTTCAATAGGAAATATATGCAATTCAGCTGCCTTTTTATTTGTGATGCATGGTGATATTATTTTTACCAATATCCCACCTATCCTGTGCCAGGAAAACCTTTATCAATCCAGTATGGAAGTAAGCTGTTCCTCCCTCTCCCATTTCACTTGCATCTTCACTCTTCTCTCTGAGAATGGAAGAAAAGCATCCATCCATCCATCCAAGCACCATAATAATCAATGAGATTCTTTGCAGGGCCATATTTGCTTGAACAAGATTCTGGAAAGCAGCAAAAACAGAAGCATGCCTTCCTCTGCCTTTCCTAAAGGTTTTCATTAGCTATCACCAAATCCTAACCACTTATTCATTCTGTATAATGGGAGGAATTGCCCCCTAAATGGAACAGGGAGTGGGCATGAATGCCCTCCTTGCTTTATACAAGGGGACAAATGTTATATAAAATTGCATCCACCACTGAGTCCCAGGATTGCTAAAGGTCAGAGTGCTGACTGTTGATTTATGTTGCCAGTGGGCTGGGGGCAGCGTGCTCGCCTTCACTCTTCTATGCTTTCCTCTTCCTTTTATTGGCAGTTGCAATTATTCAATTTAGGATTCAATTTTAGATGCATAATGATTTAAAGTATCAAAAATAAAACTTTTTTTTAAACCAAGATGGTATGGATATTTAATAGCAGAATATGTGTGACTGCATCTTTCTGTATATGCATGTATATGAGAGAAACATACATGCATACATATATGTAAGTTAGTATAAATTAACTCTCCTTTTCTGATCTGCCAAACAAGCAGGTCTCCAGTATATCTGCAAAAGTAATCACCCATAACTCTTTATTATGTATCTCTGTGTATTTGTCTGTTAGTGTATAGTTAAACGAATTGTTTGGCAATTCATAGTATTTAAAAGTAGCTTTTTCAGAAGAGGGAAAGAAAATTAGATTTCACATGGGCCAGACCCAGCTGCGGAAAAAAGAGGAGAGCGTTAATTTTGGCTCAATTATTTTGTCATCATTTTGTATGATTTATGGTCCAGTTCCGGATGATTTTGACCCAGTTAAAACAGTCATAAATAATGAATCCCAATCCTGAGACCGTGTTTGTGTTCAGGAGTTTAAAAGTGAACAGTTGAGTAAATAGAGATCCAGATATCAGTGATGCTGATATGATAAATTCTACTTTCTAGGTAAAAAAAGATTTTAAATGCTGTCCATATCAGGGAACAAGTCCTATATAATTAATGATAATACTTTCCAGGGAAAGATTTGGTAGATTTAGAATGTTAACTGACCTGAAATTTAAAAATCTAGAATCATATTTCTCTTTCCAGTATTTTCTTGTCCCACTTACAGAGCTTTGGTTTATTTTATTTCTTACACACACCCATGTGCACTCTTTAATAAGGTGTGCTGAGATCTTTCCTATTTGCTGAGCTGATAAGGAAACTTGCTCATTTTCTTTTTCCTTAGAGAGAAAACATTCATTTCCAAACTTGGCTTTGCAAATGCAAGGTAGCTTTTGTTTTTGAGGAACAATACTTATTCCTACCTTGCTTCAGAATGAGAGGCTCTTGAACCATTTAGATTTATATTGCTTTAGGTCCAGTTGGTCCAGCATGAATCTAAACGGAGTCTGGCTCCTTACATGGCAACAAGAGAGGGGATATTACATTAATGCAAAGATACCTCTATAATGTAGTAGCAACGAAGGAGAAACTCAAGAATCAGAACAAGAACCAAAATTCTGAAGCAGAGCTAATGAAAGAGACAAAGAGAATAGGATAGGTTTTACCTAACCATAAAACTAATAAATGGGAGAAGAAAGGAACAGTGGCACCTATTAATTGGATACTTTTATTGGAAAATTGGAAATTTGTCCTTTTTATTTGAACCTTTATTTGCCTTCCGGGGAGGAATTTTAGTATTTGCTGCTTCAGGCACCTTCCTAATGAAATATACTCAGAATCGGGCAAGGTGAACAAAATGTCCAGCTGGCTGTTGCCTGCATAATTTTTTTGACTTCAGGGGAAGAAACTGGTAGGTTGAACATCGAGTTTTCTCCTCAAATTCTCTCCGGAGAGAACTTTGTTTGCCAGCTCCACCAAAAGAATTGGCTTTCTTTTCTTTTTTGTGGAGGGATGGCAAAAGGTGGTGGGGGGGGGGAGGAACGGGACGGGACAGAAAAAGGTCATATCAGCATTTTTCAGAAGAAAACTATAGGGCTGATCGTTGACAAAAGCGGCGTTTTGTTGCATCGCCACTGCCAAGCGGGAGGATATAGGAAAACGGCTGACCGGTGAATTTTGGTCCCCGCTGTCGTCCCCACCTCCTACGCAGCAGCTCAGCTTTCTGTCTTTCATGTGGAGTCCTCGCAATATGCTCAGAGAAGCAAGTGTTTTCTGTTGGGTAGCTCTGTTTACAGCTTGGCGCAAGAAACTATAAATCTTGCCTCTCCATAAATGACAAAAACCATTGGTATGCATAAGAGGCCACCCCGAACTGAAAGTACGTGTGTATGTTTGTGCGTGCGTGTATAAATCTCTTCTTTCTCCTGTTCTGCTTTGTTTGGGGTTTAAGGTGACAGTGCAATTTAAAGAAACTTCTTTGTATTTTCCACACCTTTGGTAACGAAGGCCTGTCAAAATCGCACTTAGCTCTTATTCCAGCGCCAACTGGCTGATTTTCTGAGGCAGTTTAAAACCTCGTCCTCCGGGTTTTGTTGTTGTTTTTATTTTTTTGTCTGTTTTGGTCTCTTTATACCCCACCCACACCCTTCCGCCAGGAGTTATTGAAAACTATTCTTCTTACTGATGTTATTTTAAGCGTCAGACTACTTGAGCAAGAGAATGGCCAGAAAGTGCAGAAAGGGAAGGAGGAGGGGGAAAGGAATGGAAAAAAGAAAGGTGAAAAGAAAAAGAGAGAAAGAAAGAGAAAGAAGAATAAGGAAAACCCAATTACCAAAACAGCAGCGCTGATCGACATGCACCCGTATGGCCGTGAGTATTTGTTAAATAATGCGAATTGAAACACGGGAGAGGTAGGCAATAAGCGACAGACTAAGTCCTTAACCCAACTATGCTTTAGAAAGTCTTGATACCTTTCAGCTGACTAAGAAATTCTGCCTCTTCTTTTCAAATAAATATTCGCATCTCCAAAATATTCCTGAGGGTATAGCCTCACAATTATATCCTAACCTTTATTAGTGGTTGCTTTAGTTACCCAGCGTTTAGTTACAGTTACTTGGAATTAGAATCTTAATAATTACTTAGCCCCACCGACATGGAAGGAGACGGGCAAGTTTATTTCACTGGCTATCCACCCAGGCATTATTTCTGATTTCCGCTGAACTCGGAGCCAGATTCTCCTTCTATCCCAAATGTTAACTGCTCTTTTTGTAAACGGATGGCTGTGCTGTTTCCTCGATGATGCGTATGTGAATGTTTGCCTAAGGGAAGGGCAACCAGAGAAGAGGGGAAGTGGGCATCTGATGACGGTCACCTACATTGTTTGAATCCTCCCCGTTAAAAGCGCTGTAGAGATCGCCCTGGATTGTGAGACAGGCCAGAAATCTACTTACTATTGTGTGTGGTGGAGGTGGGGTAATGTTTATCCATATGTGGCATAACTTCCAGATTTTAAACGGTGCTTTCCGTCTCCCCCACCCCGTCCAGAATTCACTATATTTTTCATCAAGCTGTTGCCATACTGGTGTGTGAAATTTATGTTTGTGTGTGTTTTGGACACACACACACACACACACACACACCATCAAAGGTCTGGGGGGAGCGATGACCTTTTTGTGAACATCCTTTATCTCGATTAGCATAATTTTCCTGGCCTCTAATGCCTCTCTGGCCCTTCACTCTTTCACTGCCTCTTTCTTCTCACTCCATCCATTCCATCTTGCCCACCCCCATCTCTCCTGCCTGCCCCGGACTTCCCGAGGCAACTGCCTCCTTTCTCCCAACAAACGCCCCCTTGGGCGTGCAAGGTTGCACAGGCAGCCGCCTGCCTTTTCCCAGCGATCCGGTCTAGGAGAGAGCTTGTCCGGGGGTAGCGAGGCACGACTCTCACTCGGCCCCAGGGGTGAGGTGGAGGGCGTGGAGGTTGGGGCCGGAATGAGGTAAGGACAGGGCAAGGGGGGGCACTCCATTAGAGGCAAGCTGAAGAAAGACCTTCTTGGGTGTCCCCTTCCTGATGGAGGCAGGGCGCCTCCGGTTCTGATTCCTGGGCTCGTCCTGGCAGAAGTGACCTGAACTGGTCCCCATCCCGGAGGAGCAGAAGGCACTTAGTTGTCAGGGCGGAGGGGTTAAAGTGAAAGGGGGAGATCCTGATCCCCGGGCTGGCAGGGAACGACTGTCGCCTAGCCTCCAAAGACCAATACTGGCTTCCGCCTCAGTCGTCAGAATTAAGGTAAGCAAGCCCCAAATACGCGGCTATCAGTGGTGAATGCCGGAGTTTATGTCCTGGTTGATTTATGACCAGAGACTTAAATCTCGGTTCAAGAAGAGTTCACAGGCTGGAGCTTCCTTCCAGGCAGTGACGGATAGACCATTTCACGTCGAGTTCAGGCCGGGTGCCCCTCTCCCCTCAACTTTTCTTTATCTGGCAGGAAATCTCCGGCCGCCGAGAGGAGGCCAGCAGTGGGGAAGTGGGTGGGGAATGTAACCGGGGGTCCCCCGCGTGGATCACGATTTACAGAAGGTGTGGTAGAAGAGTAAACCAGACAAACGCAGAGAAAAAAGGGCTCCAAACTTGTAGTCTGGTCTGCCAGCCAGCTCAAGAGACCACTGATGATTTTGGATTCAACCCGGTAGTTTCTAAAAGAACTCCAGAAACTCCTGTGCATGCACGTTTACTTTTCTTGCCTTGTGGATCGGGCCAATATAGTGGTGATTGGAAGGCTGGATTCTTTGTATGGGCATCGGTGGGTGGGAATCAGTCTTTCCAAGAAAACTTTGCATCGCTTCCGAGATTTTAGGAGAAGACCTCTCCACCAAGTGCGGATCTCGCTTCTCCCCTCACCCCAGTATTTCTGAATCAAAGTTGCCATCCTATGCAAGCTTTCCAGAGAGCCAATCTCAATTGTTATAATGGGTCTTCCTTCTGACCTGAACAGGAATAGGATTCAGCTGTAAGGTTTCCTTCCTGGCCATGGGTGCAAGAAGTATGTTCCTTTTAATCAAGTGGGAACAGTTTTTGGAATTAACTTGTGTCAGATAGATGCTAAAAAAAAAAAAAGGCATCAACCTGCAGGTTGGCAAGATAATCTACTATTACTAGAAAGTACGAGTTTGAAGTTATACTTTGAAACAATTGGGTTTGCAAATAGACTTTTTGTGATGGAATAGTGCTTCTACAAGTTTCCCTCACTGGCTGCTTTATGGGTTTTCCTATATTTGCATTCTCTTGAAACAAGCATTTACTTTTAGTGAAACAACTCTGTATAAAATGTGAGCCTGTGTATTATTTTTTTAAAAATCTTTAAACAAAAGCTATTTCCTCTGTTGCGGGCATTGTTGTCAACTACTTTTTGTTTGCACTGACTATCCACAAGCAGGAAAGGGGCTGCCCGACTGTCTCACCCCAAAGTCACTTTTGCTCGGTTTTTTCCCCTACTTACAAGCAAAAGAGACTTTGGAGAACTTGTATAAGAGTTCTTTCTGCAAAGGTCAGAAAGGAAACAGCCAGCATCTTCTTGTTTCACATTTCTTAATTCAAAAAGTGAAGTAACATTTCCACCCTACCCCCAACTCCCAACAAAAAGGCAAAACTGTTAAAAGTCTAAAATTAAGAAGGGCTATTAGAAAACAGATAGCAAAGTTCAGGCTCCCCAGTCAAATTCAAAGTAAAGTTCTGGAGTTTAAAATAAATTTACTCCCAAATCAGATAAAGTCAGTTCCTACCCAACCCAAACTACAGCTGAAATTCATTTTCTATATTTTTCAATACAGGTTGTTTATTGTAACTTTTGAAAGACTTGATTGTTGTTTTTAAAACCAAGCAAACAATAAAAGAAGATAGCTTCATCCTCTATCGAAGGAAGCTGCCATCTGTAAGAGGTTTATTAAATCAATCTGTCTCTCATGTGTACCTTGTTCTGAAAGAAACTTGACTGAACTGAAATGCAAACTCCTGCAATTAATCTGAGTATGTTTGTGAGGTGATAGTGTGTAATATATGCCTCCAGCAAGATACCCTGGCAGCCCACTGTTTTGACTGGAACTTGAGTTGGGAATGTTTGTGTGAATATGAGGACTTTGGAGAGAAGGCATGGAAGTGATAGGTTTTTAACTGGTGGTTCAGATGATCTGTAAAAAGTTCTTCAATTGCAGATAAGGAGTCCTCTGAAATCCCACCCAACCTCTTCTCTAGCTGATTCTGCTCAGACAGGTAAACAATGTTGAGTGAACAAAAAATATTTGCTTGGTTTGTAAGAGTGTTTGTGGTTTTGTGCACCCATTCCTCTGTCTGCATCCAAATGACCTCCATACATCAAATGACACTGCAATCTCAGCGACAGAACCTATTATGGTTGAGTTAGGAGGAAGGTTCAAGCTGTGATCATGGAGATGGACACTAGCGGGTGTGCCTTTTTCCAGATATTTGTGAATATATTCATGAAGGAGGGAAAGGGGAAAATAATAATTCAAAACATCTGACTGACTGTGCAACCAACCATAATAGTAATAATGTCATGTTTGATACACCCTCAAATAATTAGACCGGGATCCTGCAAGGACACAAGCAACCAAAGGGACAGGCCTGAAACTTCCCACAAAGGAGCACTAACTGGAAGATAATTTCTGACTGTTACCCGTTTGCTACATGTGGAGACTATTGGATGATAGAGGCCAGATTTGTGTCCCTGTCTAAACTGGCAGCAGTTAAAGCTAATTTATGCGCAGGAAGTTGGCTGATTATTAAACAGAGAAAGCTTGGGATATCCCCAGCCACTGTGCAATTTCATCACACGAGGGTCATTATGGGTTCCATTTATCAAATCTTTTGGTTTCCTAGCCAACATTTCATGAGTTCGAACCCCTCCAGCGCTGGATTGTTGAGTCACTCTTCGTGGTGAGACTTGAAGATGCATGTATTGATTTTTCTTTAAAAGGCATTGTATCCAACCCTTTAAGTAAAGTACAGCAAGATTTTCTTTTTCTTTCAATAAATAAGGGAAACAGTATGATATTGCTCGAAAGGAAAGCAAAAGGAAATCGTAAGTGGTGCTTTGAAGCGCTTCATAGTCTTAAATCAGTTTTGGAAAACAATCTGCTCCAACCTCTTTCTTATCTGGAGGCCATTTATTGCAGTGATCGATCAGAGCCCTTTTTATGAGAGAAAAGATAAAACAATTCTTAGCCTGCATGTGGATGTGAGTGTGTGCGTGATTAGAAAACACCCAATTCTACTTTCTCTTGGATCTGTAAACCACACAATCTGGGCTGCCAGTAAATCTCTGCATATCTCTCTCAATTTCTCCCTCCCCCTCCTCTTACCGAAATTCTCTTCGCCTTCAGGCCAAGTCATGCTGCTAAATATTGCTGACCACTTTTTCTGTTATGGCTTTCATGTCACTTAGCTATTGAAAGTAAGATGGATTTGTACTATTTCTCCACTCTCCTGTGCTTTCCCTACACCCTAGGTCTACAAGGAGAGGCCATTGGAGGAGAAACGTCATGTGACAGAGTGGTGCCAATGTTATTCTTTAAGGGTGTCAAGACCCTGTCAGTTTATGAAATAAATATTGGGAAACAACGAAATGCAAAAAGCGACCTACTACGACAGCTCTGCGATCTATGGAGGCTATCCCTACCAAGGAGCAAATGGTTTCGCTTACAATGCTAGTCAGCAGCAATATCCTCCGCCTTCTGCTTCCGCGCTGGTGGAAACCGAGTACCATCGACCTGCATGTTCTTTGCAGTCCCCTGCCGGCACCAACAGCACTGTGTCCCATCATAAGGCCAATGAAATCAGCGAGAGTTGTATGAGGACCATCCCCAGCCAGTCTCTCCAGCCCCCAATCCTACCAGAACAGCCCCAGCAACAGCCTCCGACACAGCAGGCACCACCACTGCCCCCTCCTCCTCCTCCCCCCTCCGTGTCACCACCTCAAAATGCCACTGCCAACAGCACCCCTGCCAATGCCACAAAGAGCTCCATCCTGAACTCACCTACCATGTCCAAACAAATCTTTCCCTGGATGAAAGAATCTCGGCAAAACACCAAGCAGAAAAACAGCAGCTCCAGTTCAGGTAATGGAATAGGGGAGGGTTAACTGGAGAAAGCAGGAGGGTTCAATACTTACTAGCACAAGCAACTGATCCACCACCCTCCAAAGTTCTGCTAAGCTTCTTGGGAGCCCTGCGTGCCAAGTATTTCCCCACTATTTTTGCTGGGAAATTGAACCTATACAATCTCTTGAGATCACAAGCATTATTTTATTTCATTTGTGCATACACACACAAGCCCATCTCCAGAGAGTCGGGTGATGAGAGAGGCTTCAGTTTGCTTGATGGTGACCTCTGTTCAACTCTGAAAAAAGAATGTGAAGTTCCCTTTGCTTCTCTCTTTTCAAGCTTGGATGCCTGTTAGAATCATCTTCAACATTCCATACTGCAGCCTCTCCCTCCCCCTCCCCACTTGGCAGCTATTAAACCAGAGCCAGATATGTACAAGCCCCTGGCCTGTCTTCCACCAGTGTTAGCACTTTTTTGGGGGGGGCTTGATTCTATTCCAGCAATAAGCCAGTGACCTATTCCTGCTGAAGCGTAATGAGAATAAAATACCTCATCATGATCTTCAGTCAAGATCAATGCTTTGTTTGATATTCATAACCTCCTTTGATTTTAGCTCACAGACTGGCAGCCTTATAGGAATGGGAACAAAGCTTAGGTTTCTTTAGCACTCTGCAGGCAGGTCCATAAATACATTATAGGTGGATTACAGTGTTTATCTACACTGTTATTACATAAGTAAACCCAAATCGATGAGAAAAGTATTAGCGTCCTTTCCCCCAGGCATTTGGCTTCTACTTATCATTTACTTCCGCAATTTATCTTGGAATGTAGATGCTAAACATTTTTGCAAATGTTTTCCTCAATGCATTTCTAATGCTATCACAGAATAAAATCAACATAGGCAGACTTTATTATTTAACATATTCATTGTTCTATATTCTATATTTCTCTCTCTACATATAGAAAATATATATATATCTTAGTTTACCAAGCTAGAATCTATATATCTTGTCAATCAGAAAACTAAGAGTAGATGCTAAATGCTTGAATTTGGAAATAACAGCTACAAAGCCTTTCAGGTAGATATGCTTTAGGCTGCAGCCTTATCTCATCATTAAGTTCAGTAGTCAGAAGCTTAGATACATAAATTAAGCTTAAGCATATAAAACTTGAAAGAACAACATATAGACTTCCAAAAGACTATCTTCTAAAACTCAAAGTAGCTTCAGCAGAGGTTTCTTCACTAATGTGAAGAAAAGTGCAGGGCATTTTTGAAAACATTCCGTATTCTCCCTCCCTGTAGATACAGGACAATAAAGTAAATAAATAATAAACAGTTTACCTTTACATGTATTTCAAAATCGTTATCAAGGCAGGCTACTTTTACACTTTAAGGAAAGGAAGTGTCCTCCAGTTGGTTTGGAGTACATCTTAATACCACTAAATTGCTTAGGAGAATTGAGTCTGATGCAATACAAAGCCTCTTCTGGGCATCAAACAGTATATCCCTTTAAACTCTATCACAGATTTGGCCTTGTATCTCTTATTTCATTCTATTCTTTTTAATGGGCTGAAACTGGCTTTAAGCCAAGTAATATTTTACTGCAGGTGTGTGTCCGAGGTTATCCTAAGAAGGAAGTGGAGGGAGAATGGATGTTTGCTATCAGTATTATATTTTGATTTTACTGATATAAAATATCCATATTATTGACAATAATCCAATTCAAGTAACAAGGAATTTCTGTGGTTTGGTGCTGAGGAAGTTTAGTCTGACAATCATTAGTTGCCTTGTTTATCTTTCATGTAAAAATTACATTTCCGAGGAGCTGTTATTTCTAATAGTTTTTTAAGGCTGCATGGTTCCTTTTCTAGAAATTGTTGCCTCAGGCAATTATTACTAGATCAGAGAATTAAAATGGGAGGGAAAAGACCAGAATATTCTTTAGCCTGGTGGTTTTCAATTCTTATAATCCTCACTCTATATAGCTATTCTGGGGATAAGAAATTAGAAGTCAAATATATTTGGAAGGTCCTAGGTTTGAAAGGATCTGTAATGTTGCCTCAGTGCTCTTCTTATGAAAGCTTGCTAGCCTCAGTATGAGGGAGACACTGACCATTTATCATGATTGATTCAACACAGGATTGTTGAATGAATGGAAGAACACCACTTGTACTTTGACTCAGGCAGCAAATGGCCTTTGATCAGCCTTCCTTCCATTTAAATACGTTTGCTATTAGTTTGGGCAGAGCGAGCCATTAGATCTCTCAGAATACTTGCAAATTTAGCAAGTAGTGGTTTATTATTATTTCTGGTCATAGTATGCTAGGTATCATCCTACTTATTTTGTTCTTTGTATGATTTGTGTAGGTGAGAGTTGTGCTGGTGATAAAAGCCCCCCAGGGCAAGCTTCTTCTAAAAGAGCTCGCACAGCTTACACCAGTGCCCAGCTGGTAGAACTGGAAAAGGAGTTCCACTTCAATAGATACCTTTGCAGGCCACGAAGGGTAGAGATGGCTAACCTCCTAAATCTCACTGAAAGACAAATCAAAATATGGTTTCAGAATCGCAGGATGAAATACAAAAAGGATCAGAAGGGCAAAGGCATGATGACCTCTTCTGGAGGACAATCCCCCAGCAGAAGTCCTGTCCCTCCAGCTGCTGGAGGCTACCTGAATTCTATGCATTCCCTCGTCAACAGTGTTCCATACGAGCCCCAGTCACCGCCATCTTTCAGCAAGACTCATCCGAATACCTACAGCATCACTACATCATATCCGGCTCCTATCAATAACTGCCCTCCTCCTCAAAAGAGGTACACCGGAACTGCAGCAGTGACACCTGAATACGACCCTCACCCTCTTCAAGGCAATGGTTATGGCAATCCGCATATACAGGGAAGCCCCATCTATGTTGGGGGCAATTATGTGGATACCATGGGAAATTCAGGACCATCTATCTTTGGTCTAACTCATCTCCCTCATCCATCCTCTGCCAATATGGATTATAGTGGGGCAATGGGCAACAACCATCATCATGGACCTTGTGATCCCCATCCAACATACACAGATCTTACTTCTCACCATCCTTCTCAGGGAAGAATTCAGGAAGCACCCAAACTGACCCATCTGTAATATAACATTGGTTATATAGTGAGTCTTAAAAGCTTCCCAAGTTTTTTAAGAAATGGGGGGGACCCCCAACTTTTAAATCCCCCCCCCACTGCGCTACCCAATACAAACAGTTTTATTTGCTTCTGGGTTTTATTCTGATGTGTTTTCCTTTTGGTAAAATGCGTTTCCAGTTTATGTGACGTAGCAATATTTGTTGCTTGAATTGCTCTCTAGTTTCAATAGTGGATATTTATCTTCTTGAACTCTTGCCTTGTGATCTTGCTTTGAGAGTATACATAGGCTTTATACTCTTAATTTTGACTCTTTTATCAAAACAGGGTATTATGAACAAATTTTCTATACAGACAGTTCTTAAATGTGAATTTGTTCGTACAAAATCAGTCCCATCTGGGAAACATTTTTTATTTTAATTGCACTTCTTTTAGATAATAAGAAAAAAGGGCGCTTGAACAGGGGCTCCTGAGCAAAATGATTAATACATGTACGTCTTTAATCGTGTGTATGCTGGTGAACTTTCAGATTTATTTATATTTTTTTGAATAATCTAAGTGTTTAATTTTTTATTTATCCCCATCTGTTCATATTTATATATATGAAGATATTAAAAAATAAACTTCTTTACCCTGAGTATTCAGGAAATATTGACTGGCTGTATGTTCAATGGCATACAAAGAGAATATCATTTGAAAACCAGAATTCTTTTATTTTTTTTAAAAAAGAAATAATGCAATAAAATCTGAAAACAACACATCAAAGTAGGAAAGTAATGGATGTCTATAGATAATCTAATAGAAAACGGGTAAAACCGGGATTTGACAACAAAGGACCATAGTTTTGTTTTCAAAAGGATACACTCACATTCTTAAAATTAACTTACTAAATAAAAGCTTTTATTCTGAATAATAGAAATTTATGATAGATCATTTGAATGCCATCCTCCATTCCGAATCCAAAGACAAAAGGAACGAGGAAAAGAACATCGGGAACGATTGAGCCCCCTGAGTTTTAAATGCACAGCCAAACTTTAAAATCCCTCCCCCCCTCTTCCTTCTGACTGGACTTTTAAAGCTGCCAAAATTTAAGTATTTCCAGAAGGTACGCGCGCTCCTCTGTTGCCTTAAAATCAAACAAAGCCTCTTCCAGCAGCACCAAGGCTGGTCGAACAAGCGTTCCGGTGGTTCGCGTTTGACTCCAGACCCAGGGACAGATTCAGCGAGTAATTTTCCTGAGTCAGCGCTTGCCTGGCGACCTCTCCAAAGAAGAGCCGCACTAAACAGGGCGCTAAACTGCTCCAAGCTGGAAAAGATCCCGGTTTGTGACCGTGGCTGATTGTCGGCATCTCTCTTTTGCAGATGTATGTGTGTGTGTGTGTGTGTTTTTTTTTGTTGTTGTTGTTGTTTTTGTCCTAGGTGGTCTCAGTCTCTCGCTTTGTCCATGGCTGTTCTCCTCTTCAAAGTGGTGGACTCGGCTCTAAGACTAGCGAGCCGGGGGAGAAACAAAGGCTGTTTCTGGAAGAGCCTCTTCCTCGAACGAAGAAGCTCAGGTGCTGTAACATTTCTCTGGAGGCCGCAGGCTGCCCGGCTGCAGGCTGTTCTCTCCTGTTGGCTGGGGAAGCTCTCAGTTTCTTCTCGCCTCCGCGCGAGGGGAAGCGATCGGAGGTTGTTTTACCCGCACACTTTGCCCCACGGGACAAAATGGACAATCGAGAAACGGTAATGGGCAAGTCTTGTTGTTTCCTAAAGAGAACGAAACTGAATAAGAGTCCGTGGACTTAAAACGAGCGTGTGGGCTCATATTTGGTATGGCATGGATTCAAAGCACATTTGTTTACGGGCAGTTATAATTTATCATTCCAGTAATGAAGAAACGGATTCCGCAACAATAAATCTGTTCGCGAAGCGACGTGGGCAGCTTTGAAAGAGCTATTCCTTATAGTTTCCCCCACCAGCTAGGCTGCTTCTCCTCTCTGGCTATAGGAATTGCGGAATTATTATCATTCCCGCACATCTTGTTAATCTAATTTCCTTCCACATCCCAATCTTTCTTATTCTTTCTAGAAGGGGGGTGGGGGAGAATAGGAAAAAAATCATTTATATAATATAGGCGAATGTATAGAACCCCTCCCACTCATAAATACATATGCATACACACAATTTCTAAACAAGCATTTGATGCAGCCCTACCAGATCCTTTCTGTCGCTCAAATACATCTGTGCTAACAAACATGGAGAATCCATAGACGCAACCGCTCCCCACCCTTTATTTCCAAACAGAGAAAACATGTAATTTAACATGGGGTTTGTCGCCTGTCTTGAATTTGTTTAGGAAGATCTCAGTATGTATATGTATATGTATATGGAGGATATGCCACCGTATGATCTGGTTATTTTGTTTAATCTCAATAAATTTGCCATCATATTGGTTTTCCTTTCTAAAATATTATATCGGTCTTTATTTTTTCACTAAATAAAATCTCTCTGGGATTTTTTTTTCTTTCCTCCCATCTGTAGCTGAAAAGCTTCCAGGGATCCAGGGATTGTGCAATATACTAAATTCCTCATTTTAATTTTGCATTCTATACTTACTGCATTTTATCTTCGCTGAACCATTTTCCTCTATACTTAACAGCAATGTGGCTCCAGACTAGGAAATCACCAAATCTATTGAAAAAGCAAAACTATTTAAAAGAGAATTATTGGAGTAGAGGAATCAATTTGAAACTTCTATCTTTTGGAAAAAGATGAAATAGAAAGGGACTGTGAGTGTTATTCCCCCCCCCCAACATTAATTGAAGGGAAAAATGCATTACATGAATTTATGGCACTGACGGGGTGACAGCAAGAGAAAAAGAGTGAGAAAACTCTGACTGGTATGAGGACAGAAAAACTGATCCTTAAGAGGGTATATAAGACAAAGGAAGTGGGTTACCACCCCCATCCCTGTGTTCCAATCTGATTTCAAAGATATTTATTTATCCCTTCCCTTCATCCTGCATATAGTTTATCTGCACGAAAATGTGCACCTTCTTAAAGAAAACACAGAAGTAAGAAAAGAAAAAGTGCTACTTTAAAAAAGCCAAGGAAGAAGAAAAGCTCTTTGTTCCAGGTAGTTTTTCTATTAGATTGCCCACTGGAAAAGAAAAGAATCCACAATCCAGGCTACAGAAAACAAAAACAAAAATCCTCCCAATATCCTTCCCACACCAATTTAACTCACAAAGCCTCAGTGAACCGAATTGCCCCAGCCGCCTCCCTTACTTGCCTTACCTCCTTGTGGGGTTCTTTTACGCATAACATACAGAAGCTGGGGCGCACACAGGCGCGCACAGGCGCCCGCGCGCGCGCACACACACACACACACACACACACCAGCAACGCCTTGCTGTTATCATCAATATTCCATAAATAAATAATGAAATAAAATCCGTAGGCCTGTGGCTGTCTTCCAGGCAAGTTAAAAAGCTGAAGTTTCTATCCTTCATTGAGAGGGTAGAGCAAGGTGGGATCCGTTCGGGAAAATAAGCAGCAGCATCTCTCTTGCTTATTTACTAGAGTTTCTTCCCCCACCTCAACAACCTTTCTTCTTTTTTGCTCAGTCACATTTCATCTAGGAAAGAGCATGAAGCTCGAAATGTGTTCTTAAGGGCCAGAAGCTGTCAAGGCATTTTGGTCGAGAAGATTGATCACGCCTAGATTTCAGCAGAGCTTTGTTTGAAGTAAAGCAAGAATTTTTTTTTTTAAAAAAAAATCAAACCCAACAACATATATATTGTAAGGCATCCACTTTCCTCCCCCTCTATTCTTAAACAATTTCCATCTGAATTTTATGTTAAGATTATTACAATACCTCACCCCTCCCCCTCACCAGTTTTCCCTCCATATTGGAGAGGGGGGGCAATGATTCACTCAAAAAACGAAAGAGGCCTGCCGTTCCTTTTCCTTTTGCTCAGATGTGCTTCATCAGAAGATGAAGCAACCAGTTTATCATATGAACCCTTGTGAACAATTCCCAGCACTAACTCAAAATCTCAAAATGGGGGACATATAGGGAGTCCTTGAAATACATAGGAATACCTCTCTTCTCTTCTCTTTTGCTTTGGAGGAGAGGAAATACCCTTTTCTGTTCCTTGTTACTGAATCCCCCTGTTCCTTCCATTGTTTCCAGTCCCCTCCTTTCATTTCCCGTTTTATTTGAGGCGATTGAAGAACTGTTCTGTCCAAGCCTTCAGCGTTGTTGAATGAGCAAATCGAAAGAAAAGCAAACAAAAAATGGTGTCGGTCAAACAATCTTATTTGGAAAAGGGATCCGTTTTATAGTTCTTTCCTACATGACTGATAATAATTTTTAAAACTGATATTGAATTTTGATTTATTTCTTCGCCATCAAGATTACTTACTTACCTGACCCATTTTTATTGTGGTTAAGGGGAAACAGTGAGTCAGAGTCAGCTGATTCCAATGTCGTTTGTGTTAATACTCTGATTTGTTCTTGAAATCGACTGCATTTCTGTGAAACATACTTATATGATTTGGGTGTTTGATGGAAATGCCTATGATTGTACTATCCAATTCTGTCCAGCCAACTCAAGATATGTACGTGACACCTTTGGACTGACTTCTGTTCTTCTGCCTATGGAAGCAAAGTTTCTGTAGAAAATTCTTTCTACACAATGGATACATGCCAAAATTGGTCGCCAATTGTTCTCTGTGCTGTACCGTTCAGAAAAATCGAGCACACACACCCCCGCCCCCGCCCCCGCAGAAATGCAGAAAGATGCCAGGTCTTGAGGAGGGGTGGGAAACCCTACCTTGTTCTGGTGCTTGTTTTTAATTTTAGGAAGTAATTATTTCTTTCTTTAGGACTGGTGGTGAAGGGAAGAAATACAAATAAAATGCAAATCTAAAGCAGGGCTCAACGCTTGGCAAGCCAGGCCGGGTGCAACTTTCTGATGCGGTTGAGATGCGGAGCCGGCAATGTCAAAACTTTGAAGATTAATGGATTACTTTGTTAATGACTCAAGGCGTCAGATTGGAGGTGCTTAAATGATTTGTGAGGTGCGAAGCGCTTGCCTGACAGTTCCAAACAATGAGAGGGGAGGGCGCAGGACGGGAACAAGCGGGGCAGAAGCCCTACAGGGTGAGCAGAGCCGCGGAGGCTACAGGAGCAGCGGCGGCGGCAGGAACGAACGGCCAAGCGGCGACCGTAAGAGACGCAGGCACACAAACACTCTCTCACACAAGCACAGTCACTCACCCCAGATATCATTTCAGATTAGGAGGCAAAAGGGGAGCGGGCGAGCAGCGGAGATAAGCCTCCTCCTAAAAAAAAAAAGTGTAAATAATGCCTCTCCGGCCCCAATGAGGCGTTCCTTCTCGACTTTTTTGGATCAATCAAACAGACAGTGGCTTCTTTTGATTAAAGCCCAAATTGTCATTGGGCAGAGGCAATCATGTGACAACCAATTCGGTCCAATTTCAACCTTGTCTCCATGAATTCAATAGTTTAATAGTAGCACGGTCCCCATACGGCTGTAATCAGTGAATTAGAAAAAAAACACCCCACGAGCGATCCTCTATGATTTTTTTTCTCCCTTCTTTCTATCTCCCCCTTTTTTCTTTCTCTCTCTCTTTCTCTCTCGGCTCCCCCCCCTTCCCCTTCCTGGGCCTTGCTCCCCCCTCCCCCTCCCAGAAGCGCTAAATAAGAGGGAACTTTTTCTCCAAGGGGGCTGCGAGTTGAAGGCCATGAATTTCGAATTTGAGCGAGAGATTGGCTTTATCAATAGTCAGCCATCGCTCGCTGAGTGCCTGACATCTTTTCCCCCTGTCGGTGATACATTTCAAAGTTCATCAATCAAGAACTCGGCGCTTTCACACTCGACACTGATTCCTCCTCCTTTTGAGCAGACCATCCCCAGCCTGAAACCGGGCAGCCACCCTCGCCACAGCAGCGGCAGCCGCCCCAAGCACAGCCCCAATGGCAACAGCGGCAGCCCATTGCCAGCCGGCGCCCTCCAGCCTCCGGAGTACCCCTGGATGAAAGAGAAAAAGACGTCCAAGAAAACCGCCCTGCCGCCGCCTGCTTCGGCCTCCGCCCCTGGACCAGCTTGCCTGAGCCACAAAGGTCAGTTGAAAGACTTTGCTGCACCATTCCGCTTCCCAAGGCTTCCCCACGATTTGTTTGTTCTCCCCCACCCTCCCCACTGCCTTCGCCTTCTCTGTTGGAGCGTTGCCTTCCTAACTCAGGCACTGAACCCTGAGGAAGGAAGCTGGCGGTGGGATCCACAGGCAAAAGCATCAGAGACACCAACCCTCCTTCGCCCCCACCCCAAGCAAAGTTTCTTTCCCTCTAACTTGTTTAGCGTGGGATGATTTATTTGAGTTGGAGGTGACCTCCTCTTGTCTCGCTGTCCTAGTGTTGGGATCCTTGACAGTAATGAAGAGTGATAGATTACTCTTGCTCAGCTAAGCAGCTGATGCATTAATTATAATTTGTGGTATGACTAATATCAAAGTTTGGTCGGCTACGGAAAGGTTTGGGAGATGGAGATGTGAAGCAGTTCCTCGAGCTGAGGGAAAAAGGGGTCCCGGAGAGCGGGCGCGTAAGGGGGCAACACAATGGCTTTACTGCATTCGCGGGCGGCCATTTTGTTGCAGTTGAGATGTTTTTACGCTCTGGAGAGAAGGAGAGCGAGAGGCAGAGATTTCCCACTACCAGTACCACTCTGTTCTTTCCAGACTCGAGTGTCCTCAAAAGGATCAGCTGGGGCAAATTTTTCCAGTTCTCACCCCCTCCATGGCATGCATCCTTCTAACTGTGCTTGTTTTCTTCGTCAACAGAATCTCTGGAGATCTCAGAAAATGGTAATGGGGGCTCCAGGAGATTAAGAACTGCGTACACCAACACACAGCTTTTGGAGCTGGAGAAGGAATTTCATTTCAACAAGTACCTCTGTAGACCAAGGAGGGTGGAGATCGCCGCTCTCCTAGATCTGACGGAGAGGCAAGTCAAAGTCTGGTTTCAAAACAGGCGGATGAAGCACAAGAGGCAGACCCAGTGCAAGGAGAATCAGAACAGCGAAGGGAAATGTAAAGGCTTGGAGGACCCCGAAAAAGCCGAAGAGGAGGAGGAAGAGGAGGAAGAGGAGGAGGAAGAGGAGAAATCTTTTTTTGAGCAAGCTCTCAACAATGTCTCGGGCGCTCTTTTGGACAGGGAAAGCTACCCTTTTCAACAGAACGCCCTGGCTCAGCCGCAGGCAAGCCTCCACAATGGAGAGTCCCAAACTTTTCCAGTTTCGCCTTTATCCAGCAATGAGAAAAATCTCAAACATTTTCAGCACCAGTCACCCACTGTTCCCAATTGCCTCTCAACAATGGGCCAAAACTGTGTAGCTGCCCTGAACAATGGCAGTCCGGAGGCCCTGGAAGTCCCTTCTTTGCAGGACTTCAGCGTTTTCTCTGCAGATTCCTGCCTACAGCTTTCTGACGCTGCTGTCTCCCCCAGTTTGCCAGGATCCCTCGACAGTCCTGTAGATATTTCAGCCGACAGCTTTGATTTTTTCTCAGATACGCTCACCACAATTGACTTGCAGCACCTGAATTACTGAGAAAACACAGACCTTCATACGCCAAGGGTTATACCTTCTTCTTCTTCTTCTTTTTTTTTGCCCCCCTCTCTCTCCTTAATTTTTATTTTCCTCCCTCCTTTGATCTGATTTCTTTCTCTTTGTCTGTTAGTATTTTCGGTTATCCTATCTGGTGTTGGAGAACTACTTTGCCATTTCCCTATGGCATTTTAGTTTAACCTAGTCACATACTAGGTCCTTCTATGAAAGCAATATATATGGCCTGTAAGAAAGTGATCATATCAAAATTGTATCTTCACTTTCTTTTTATTTTTGTATTACATTAGGGTGCGTTGTCATAAGTATTTTTGGTAGAATAAATTCTTGTTTACTACAAGCACCTTTTTATCTCTCTTTCTCTCTCTCTTCATGTATAGCGCAAGGAGTTGCCCCCTCCCCTCCTTTGGTCTGAAATAAAGCCAAGAAATTTGGTTACAGACCTCTGTTCTTTTTTTTCTTGAGGAAAACATTTATTGGAAGAAAGCTGCTGAAATCTTTTACCTTCTTTTCACCCCCATCCCCACAAATGGTATTGTTACAATTCTTCCCATAACTTAGAATATTTTTGATCCTTATTAAAAAAAAATAAGCATTTCCTCCATTTAATACATATCATATATTAGAATTAAAAATACACGGAAATACTGCTTTAGTGCTATTAAAAGCTATTAAAAACACTGAGTTTGTCTCTCGCATATATATATATATATATATATATATATATATATATATATATATATATATATATAATGAAAGAAAAATATTCTGCAAAAGGAAAAAGCAAGGGCTTCTTAGGAGGATTGCTGCAGTTGTGCAGACTGATAAAAATGTATATTTATATTAGTCACTGTGTTTATTCTTTTTGCGAGCCATGTCTTGGAAAGAAATGTTGGTGTGGGGAACCAAGAAAAGGTACACTTCTGATGGATTTCCGTCCCAGTGTTCCAAAGGTCCCAAGAAAAGAAATCTAAAAGAGAGAGGAAATCAGAAAAGCCATTTGGTAAAAGCTAGTTATTAAACTGTGCAAGGCATATAACTTTTGGGTTCAAAATTGGGTTCAAAGGACAAAAGCTCACGCTGAAGGTGGGGAAAAAGGCATTCTCACCAAAGCTCAGTCTGAATGAACTAGGTTAACAAGTGTACATTTCAGAAGACCTTTTAGCTATCCTACCCTGCCAAAGCACATAAAAATTGAAGAGGCCGATCTAAAAATGCTGTTAATTGAAAGTGGTGGTGGTGATGGTGTGTGTGTAAGTGCGTGTGCGTGTGTCCATTATTTAAGTGCAGGTTAATTTAACTCATTCATACAGGTTGATGTGCGTTCTTTTGTGTCCTACAAGATAGCAGCCTGTGTTACCAGATGGGGTTTGTTTTTCTTGGTGTGTGTGCATGTATGAATAACTATCCCTTTTTTCTCCCTTTCTCTTGGTAAGAACGCGTATGTGTGTTTATGTAGGTACACAGGCATATGGAGAGAGAGAGAAAAAAAATGATTCAGGCTTTACAGACTCGCATTTGCTAGTCCTTCTGCTCCGGCTGCATTTATTTTGGTGGCAGATTGCTTCCCTGTTTTGCAACCTATCTATGTGGGGTGGCGCAAAACCGCGTGGGTAATAGCTGGAAGGACTGAATGCAATTCTTCCTAAACTCATAAATCAAACGCTTTTTGTGAATGAGAATGTCATCAAAGAGATCAATTGCAGGAACACATGCACAAATAAAAATCCTCTTACGTATTTGCTGGAGCAGGGGATCCCCGTCTAAAACCATTAAGCTTGGAAGCGGCTAGTCATAATTCATTTTTTATTGCTCTGTTAAAACAACTGCTTGGCTAAGCTTCAGGTGCGGCAGGGAATCCCCTTTCTTTCCCTTTTCCCCTCCTCCCTTCTTCGCCTAGCACGAAGATCGAAGATCGCTCTTTCGGGGCAGAACATTTTCTTTGAACCAAGTTTTCGTTTTAGTTTTATAGACGTTTCACTTTATAGGCAAACCAGCAGGTCTGTTAGTTTGGGAAGCCTCCTATACTACTGACAAAGAAGCTTTCGACACAAACCAATTGCCTCGAGACCCTAAGCAGATTTTCCCTTGGGACCAGAACTATGCTGAGACATATAGTTCTCACACACAAAAAAGTGGGGACAGAGGGGAGGAAAGAAATCCTAACAATGATTCCGGAATGTAAAGGTTTTCGGGGAAATTCTTGAGTGCCTTAACTATCCGATAAACGCAACAAACGGTTTTGCTCCGTTCGGATTACCGAGAACAGCCTCGTCCTGTAGGGACGAAGCGGGGAGGCATCGAGTCTTGGGAAAAGTCCCGAGAGGTGAAAGTTTTAGAGGGAACTCGCGTGTTCGAGAGTCAAATTGGAAATCCAGCAAGGGACAAGCCGCTTCCTTTCTCTTTCTCATCCCCTCTCAATTCGCCCCCTTCTGCACTCTGGCAAGCAAGCGGGGGAGGGGGGGCGGTTGTGTTGGCCTCAGAATGCAAAGCTTTCGGGCAAAGACAGCCTGACAAAGGGGGAAAGTTCTTTGGAACAATGGCGGAAAAATAGAGGGGAGAGGATTGAAGGGAGCAGCAGCAAGCAGAGGAACGGAAAGGAGGGAGGGAGGGAGGTGGGAGAGGGAGAGAGAGAATGTCGGAAGAGAACAGATGGGTAGATAGAAATCGGGCCAAGAATAAAACTGTCCCAACAGTTATTTGATCTAACAGAAAACAGTAAACAGATTATTTTTATTTTCAAAGTTGATTAGCAAAGGTTGTGTTTTTCTAGCAGGAAAGAAAAAAATCCCTGTATATCTATGTTCTTTTTTTTTTCATCTCCCATATAATGTAAACAACACTGTAAGCTAACTTCACTGATCTGGTTAATAGCTCTATTATTATCCACTGAATGTGCTTGCAATTTTTGGTAATTGATCTGTGAATGTGAATTATGAAAATGGTTTTCTAAACTCTAAAGTGATATTTTCTTTACTCTTCTGTTCTAAAAGAAAGAGAACTGAGTGTAGACAATAAACTTCCAATCAAAGGCGAGGTTTTTTTTAATTTGCTGCAGCTGCATAACAGAATTTAGCTGTTTACAAAAATGCCAGAGACCTTCTTCTAAAAACATTGTGTCTTTATATGACTCATAGCTAGATTTTAGCATAAGCTTCACATTTTGATCGTCTTCTGGGTCCTAACTTTCATAATTATCAAAATAGGAACATTAAGTTACCCGAAGTGCTAACCTAGAGATGTAGCTTTTTAGAAAAGAAAATAGCAATCTAATTAGATAATGACTAGAACAGAATCTGGTATGTGATTGAGGTAATACTAACTAGTTAACTATTTAGAATTGGCACAATGGTAAATTACTAATAAATGTAAGTTGTTCATAAGAATTTCAGAAGTTAGAAAAAAGATATGCACAAACATTAATACTTTCAGCCAGCCACTTTGAAACAAAAGTTTCCAGGCCTTTTTCATGCTTACTTTATCACTTAAATTTGTCCCTATCTGTATAATATAAAATCTCTGTGAGAACTTCTTTCTTCAAAAAAGAAAGAAAAAAAGAAAGGGAAAGAAAGAAAAAGAAAGAAAAGTCCTATCAAACCACTTAGTAAATAGCTAAGCTCTTCGGCCCATTTCTAAACTCAGAAAAATATTGGTGACTTTAATGGCACCTTTCCAAGAAGAAACTTGTGCTGTTGGATGGGAAACAGAAGTAGAGGGACATCATTTTGAGCTCGGACTTTTTGCTTTCCCTCGTCTTCGACCACAACGAAAGATGTACATCAATTTAAAGTGATCAGACAGACCACCGTTGTCGCCTCTCAGCCCTTTTCCTCGGAGCCTTTCCTTTTAATCACTGGACGTGGTCATTCAATGTTGGTATTTCACAGAACATCCTGCTCTGTCTGGTGTTTTCAAACCGGGTCTGCAGCCAATAGGGAGGGGAAAGGAGGGAAGAAAGAGGTAGGCGAGACTGCGCGTGATTGGCAGAGAGAGGTAGGTCGAAAACTGGGAAAGAGATGGGAGGGTGGGAGGAGGAGGCCGAATGTTTGCACAGGCGCTCTGCCTCTTCAGCTGCTGAGCTGGGCAGAACGGAAGACCGCTGCCAATGGCAGCCTTTGTAAACGCTTCCTTTCCGCACCAAACGGCGTCAAGCATCAGCAGAAGCCCGCAGCCTAAGCCTTGATTTTAGTTCAGTCACCTACTTCCCCACAGTCACCGGCCTTCTTGGATATTCAGAACCCGCGTCCGCGGCAACAACAATGGCGTTGCGCCTTATTTCCATACAAATAGCCGCGGGAGGTTGGACTAAGCCCCATTAACTCTTGCTGGTTCGCCCCAGGTTCGGACCGTCCCGAGCGAAGGGGGACGGATCCCGGCTGCCCGTTGCCTGGATAATTGCCTTCTCCCTGTAAAATCGGGCCTTTAGGTTTCCCCCAGCCCGGGTATTCTACACCTGTGAGAAGGTGCCGGAGAAGCGACAACCGATTTGATGGCGAGTGCCTTTGCCTACCTGCAGGCTCTGTGTCCTTCAATTCACGCAGGAGCAGCCCCCTCCGGCGGCCGTTCAGTGCTTTCTGTTCTTACTGCTGTTGTTCCCGCGGCGGCTGCTCCAGGTTGAGCGCTTGGACGCACACTGGCTCGCCGGCCCAGCTCTCCAAGCCCAACACGCTGGCTGAGAAGAGAGCGGGAGGGAGGGAGGGAGGCGGCGGCGGCGGTGTCTGCGCGTCACCTTGATGAAGGGGCGCTCAGAATTTAAATGCCACAGCCAGGGTGATCCATCACCAGGAAGGAACAGGGCAACTTTGGCAGCCGCAGCAATCATTGGCTGCCGCCCTCACGTGGTCACCGCCTCACTGTACATTCATATCATTTTTCTTCTGGCCCCCATGGAGGAAGTGAGAAAGTTGGCACGGTCACCCAGGACTTCGAAGAGCCGGTCAATCGGTGATAGATGGACACGGCAAGGATGAATTCCTTCCTTGATTATCCGCCCATCCTCAACGGCGAGCCCACCACTTGCGCCTCCCGTGCCTATCACCGCCACCACCACCACCATCACCCCGACCATGGGATTACAACCACTTTTCAGTCGTGTGCTGTCAGCGCCAACAGCTGCAACGGGGACGATCGCTTTCTAGTGGGCAGGGGAGTTCAGATAAGCCCCCATCCCCACCACCACCAGGCTGGTACCGCCTACCAACATCACCCCAATTTGGGGATGTCCTTCTCGCACCCCAGTTGCGGGTCCGGCTATGGCGCGCAAAACTTCACTGCCGGAGGCTATGGCCATTACCCACTCAGTCAAGAGGCGGAAATCAGCGGGGGCTACTCCCCGTGCGCTCCTACTCTCTACTCGGGAAATGTCTCTTCCTCCATGGTCCAGCATCCCCAGAGTTATGGTGGGGGCACAACCAGTTCTACTCAATACATTCATCCCTCTTTCGGAGAGGAGCAGCAGAATTTAACCCTCACTAATTTCAGCCACCCCTTGTCTCCTCTCCACTCTGCCCATCCAGAAAGCTGCACTTCTCCTTCTTCGGAAGTTTCTCCACCAGCCCAGACTTTCGACTGGATGAAAGTGAAGAGAAACCCTCCTAAAACAGGTTAGTCCTCATTTTCTGGGTGGTTAAGGCACTCTAGAATTTGAATAGCTGCTGTTTTGCAGACTGGCCTGACTGTCTTAGGTATCAGAAGAAAAGGGGTACTTGGGTCCCAAAGGCAACAGGTTACCCTAAAGTGGACATTACATTACATAACATTACCATGTTAAATTGTTAAATGTGAGCAACTCTGCTAAAGAAATGTGCTCCACATTGGTTTTGAATCAACCTGGTTTGCCCGGCCTATCTAAATAGCTCTTATCAGGCAAGGTTGTCAGGATGATATGCAGAAGTCAAGCATGATTAAGTTATTTTCTACTGATTCAAATAGACCCTGCTTTGGAGTAAACATGCATATAATTAGCCCAGAAAGCATCTTCCTTTGCACCTAGCAACTACTGAAGTCATGCCTTGATAAATGCCACCTTTCAGTTAAGGCCTTGAATCCATGCTTATATGCAGCAAGATGTGCTTGTGTGACTTATGGCTGCTGTTGCTTTTTTTTCTTCAGGAAAAGCTGGAGAGTATGGTTATGTGGGTCAACCCAACACAGTTCGCACCAATTTCACCACCAAACAGTTGACGGAACTGGAGAAAGAATTCCACTTCAACAAATATCTTACCAGAGCACGCAGGGTAGAGATAGCAGCCTCTTTGCAACTCAATGAAACCCAGGTCAAGATCTGGTTCCAGAACCGCAGGATGAAGCAGAAGAAGAGGGAGAAAGAGGGCTTGCTGCCCATATCTCCAGTCACTCCAACCGGAAGTGAAGAAAAGGCAGAGGACTCCTCTGAAAAGTCCAGCTCATCCCCATGTACCCCCTCTCCTACTTCTTCTACCTCAGATACACTGACTACCTCAAACTGAGCTCTACAATTATTCATTCTTCATTTCCTGGCCCCCTATGTTCAGCCCTAGAGTACTTGATAATGTTCCAGCTCTACTTTTTTAAAGACTGAAGGGGACCCTCCTCTACCCCATCCTTCTCTTGTCATGTTGGGTTCCAGATCAAATCTTTTCTTACTACATCCCTCAAACAATTGACATCCCATACTGAAACTTGTTGGAAGCAAATCTCACTGATTTTCCCTTCTTCCAAATTGGTGGGCATAATCGAAGACTACTGAGTTAGGGGTTGGAGAAATAATAGAAAAGGAGTTTGTGGCATAATATCACTGAGATTTAGCTAAAAGATCATTTTGGCTGGAATAGGCCCCAATAGTTCAGGATCACAGTCTTATTTCAAGATTGAGGGTTTTTTCTCCTCAGTGCTAAGTACAAGGATTTATTTAGGTGTCTCCCATCTCTAGACTATTTGTGAGAAAAGTCAAAAAGTGATTACCACAATGATAAATATTGATAGACTAGAATGAAGTTGCCAAAGAACATTTATGTAGGGTTTCCTCCATGGCAGAGACAAAGAGGTTCGCAGTTCCAAAAAGAGATGCACTATTGAAAGCGTTTACATGATTTCTAAAAAGTTCATGCATTAATTTAATGTACCTGGGGTTTTTTTGTATGTGTGTGTATGAGTTGTTGGTTGTAAATATTTTGTTTAAGAGCTCTATCTTTTTACAGATTTTCTAGAAATGTTTAGATTGATTATAAATTTAAAACAGGGTGGTTACGTTCTCAAAACTCGATTCGATTTTATAGCAAAAAGTGAATTTGTCAGGATCAAAGATGTGTTCAAGTCAATCAGATACCTCAAAAAAGAAATCATAGACTAATATTCTTCCTTCAAAAGAGTTAGATAAAAATGTTGAAATTGCACTAGATTTTTAAAAAAGAAACCTTGCTTATTAAGGTCTGCCCACTATTTTCTTTCCCAAAATCTCTATGGAATTATTCTTGACCCAAAACTTATGCAGAAAATGGAGAGACCAGACCTGCTCCCGATTTTCCATTTATCCTTCCTTAGATTTTTCAGCTGAACTTCTGAATGTGGTAATTGGCCCAAACGAATGTATAGTTCATGTGATTTGTGTACGGAACTTTGCATGATGCACAAAGTTTTGGTGTACTAAGTTAACACTGAGTTTTATCAGTTGTCTTTTGTGATTGAGTACTTCTGATATTTTCTGTACAATCATTCAAGGTTCTGAGATTCTGTCTGGGGAGTGGGGGGAAGAGAATGGAATCCAGAGCAGGATTTTACGGGTCCTAAAATCTCTGTAATAAATATACTCCTATAGCAGGCTCTTATTTGTTTTGGTTCTTTCTTAGGAAGAGAAGCCTAACCAATCAGTTCTCTCTCCCATGTTTGGTGCAAGCCAAATTCTTGCCACCTTGGGCTTCCAGGCCCCCAAGATTAAACTCAACCAGATCAGTGGGGACCCTAGAGAAAACTGTCTGATCTTTTACTAGGAAAAAGGACAATGAACCAAAACCCAGATCTTTTGGAAACACTGTAGTGGGAGCTTCCTGGGTCAAGTGCTAACCTTTTCACCCCGAACTACATATTGACCTATGTGTAAACTAAGTCCTCTTCAAAAGCTGAAGCTGACTTCAACTGGTCTTGCCTCACATCCCAAACCACTAGTGAAGAGATTTATATTTCTTTGTCTCTGAGGACCCCAAGAAGCAAAGCTTTCCCCATCCTTCTTCTAAATTGCCAGAACGATCTTCCAGGCACAAACTTTGGAGGACAAGCTGGGAGCAGGCAAGAAACAGCCGGCTGAAGAGCTGCTCCTCTTCCAGAGCAATTCTTCCCAGAGGGTCATCTCAGGGAGTCCTGTAACCTCGGCCAAATTCCCCCAGCCATTGGAAAAAAACTGGTTGAGGAAGATGTCAAGTGCTCACTGGAAAAAAACCCAGGCCTTTTATTAAAAACCTGTAGAGCCGATTCACTGGAGGGACTTCCTTCCTTTTTTTGTGATTTCTGTCATTAGTAACATAAAAGTGTGGAGTCATCATAATGGAAAGAATGCAAAACATCGTTTTCATTTTACAGTAGCCGCTTTCAGTTTGAAAAATTTGTGTTACTAGAATTTAATTGTAAAAGGGTTGCAGCTTCTTAAAGAGGCTTTTAGGAGTCCTGCCCCAGAGATAAAGCAGGAGAGGTTGGAAGCTGGAAGATTTTGGCTGGCCCAAGCACCAATGGCTGTCTTTCTCCCACAACATCAGCATAAGCAAGCCTTGATCTGCAGCCACTATTGCCAGAGGAAAACCCGGGATTGCTGAACCCCTTTTCTCAAGGCCTTCTACCAACTTCAAAGCAGGCAAGAGACCCTTTCACTTTTGGCTCTTCTATCTCCCCCTCCCCCCACCAGCTCCTCTTGGCCTCCTTGCTTGTCTTATACTTTCCCCTTTTGTTGATTAGGATAAGGCCTCAAAGCTAAACAAATGGCATTTGCCAAAAGCTTTCAAGTGGCATCTACATGCCAATGGGGAGGGTGAATGAAACCTTTCAAGGCTGGGGCTCGCAAAATTCAGGGACCATCTGATTCTTTCCAGTCTTTTCTTGCGGTAGCTGGAGGAAAGGAAGAGAAGATCAAGGGCTTGGTATCAGCTGCTTTAAAACGCCTTTCAGCAGCTCCAGAGGTGTCCTGTGAGGGTGGGAAAGAGGGGTTTATAGAAGGATGTTAATAGCCAGAATATTTATTGGAACAAATGCCACCTTATATGAAGCTTTCTTTGAAAAATAAATAACTCGTTCCCAGGTACACCTGAAGGCATTTCTTTCTGAGTAATCTCCGAACTATAATTTTCCAGAAAATAAGTGATAAGTCTGAAATAAATAACTTATAATGTAACTGACTGAAAGCCAATTAAATGCAGAAGAAGAAAAAAAACCCTTCATCAAGAAGTGGCACAGATTTCTTCAAAGTTTGTTGTAGAGATTATTGATCAAAAAGTCCATCAATCAACTTGAATATCTGACATCTCTCTCTCTCTCTTTCTCTCTCCCTCTATCTCTCTCTCACACACACCCCAAGATATTACCCACCCCAAGGAAATAGGTAGGAATTTAATTGACTAATCATTAATATGACTGTGGAGAGTCAGAAAATTGATCCACTGGACAATAAAGATAATAGTTTCCTTTAGACTAAGTAGGAAATGTATTTTGCCTAAAACAGAACTTGTGTATTTTTTGTCACTAGTTCTTTCTGTGTCTACTGGTGCTTACACAAATCCACATAATGTTATACAGTTAATTGATGGATTAGTCCTAACCATTAATTGATCAATATTCATGAATTGATTTACACTTCTCTTCTTCATTGATGATAGAATTTGGATAGAGCCACCCTCACCTTTCCATGGTATGCCAATAAACAAACAAACAAACAAACAAATAGTGGTTCTTAAAAAAAATGTCTTTGCTCATCCAACTGGGATTAGTTTGGCTTTCTTTTGGGTAATGTGGATACTTAAAAGAAAAACCTGAAGCCTATTTTTGATTTTCATCCTTAAAATTTGGTTTCAGATGCTGCACAAAGATGTTTTTCTCTAGGCAATCAGATTGAAAGCAATCAATATTTACTCAGTCTGAAAAGGGTGGTTGAAAAAGCAGCAAACAACAAACTGCTTAGCTGATCACCCTGTTTAATCTCAGGTTCACTGAAAGTTCAAGCAGAAATGAATTCAGTGATGGGTCACTTTAGAATGAGTCCCAGCGGTTTATCTCACTCACTGCTAAAGGCAACAATTATTTATACATACAAAGATACAGACGTGTGCCTCCACAGTTTTTCTCCTCCAACCTCTTGTTCATTAAGATAACAGTTTCACTGTTCGTTTATTTTAAAACCACCCAAAAAATCTTCAACTAACATCTTCCTTGCTCTTCTCTTTGTCTTTTTCCTCTGAATTCTTGTTTTGGCTCAGTGTTAGTGAAAATGCCTGGCAGTTTTCAAAATGAGGGAAAGAGAAAGATGCACCACATCAAAATCTTTTAAAAAGATAAATACTGTAAGGCAAACTATTTTCCTGGGAGGAGAAAGTCCTGTTGATGTTAGCAGGAAGTTGCCTTAAAGCATTTTTATTTTTATTTAACATTTCTATCAGGATCTGCAACCCTGTGAATATGAAATACTTTGTTTTTCATGTTTTAGAACTTAAAGTGCATTGGCTTGACTGGGTTCAGGACAACGTGTGTATCTATATGCACGCACCAGCAAATTTGAGTTCCGAAGCTTAGAGGAAGGGGGACCGTGGGATTCCACAAAAACCGAACATTTGAAGGTGCTGCACGTTGTGGCTAATTGCAACAACTCTTCAGAGGTCAGAGGTCAGCTAATCACTGCATAAATGCATTCTTAATGGGAATTTATTAGCCTCTTTCTAGTGGCAGATCACGTTTGAGGGGGACTAACTTTTTTTTAATAGCATATTAGTTTCTAGAAATGATCAGATTTTAGCTTGATGCTTTGCATTTTCTGACATTATTTGTTATGTTTATTCTAATAGTCTAGTAATGCTTAAAGTCTCCAGAGAACAAACACCTATCTACATGATAAACAGATAACAGACAGACAGACAGGCAGATAAATATATTTCTTTGCATGCTTATTTGAGAGGAGCATTCCCTGGTTTCTAAGCTTAAAAATCAGAGGCAGATCTAAGGTGTCTCACACACAGGTTTTCAACATTTATGTTAGTAATCAAATATATTTTTGGAGGGGTGGTGACTTTGTTTACATAAATACTCGTCTATAAAATAATAGCTCCTTAAGAATAAAAATAAAATACAAGCAACAATAACATAAGCAGAGAATCTGGATGTATTTTAAAAAAGTAAAGAATATATGCATGACTAAACAGCGGGTAAGCACGCTTGGATTTTGGATATGTGGTACAATTAAATCAACAACTTTCCCCTTGTCTTCCTCCAGTCCGCCCAGCATACTCCGCAGCTGTTTTCCTCAGTTCAAATCTCAATTCTTTAGTCTAGGGCTGGTGTGCACCCGAATTTCTCCCAGGTCTTCTTTTCCCTGATCTCAAATGCAGGACTTCGGTGGGAAAGCTTCGGCTCCGCGACGAAGGTTGGTCTGCCTACTGGAACCGGGGCTTCCAAATTGCTTGCGAGGCCCATCCCAGGCTTTTTAATTCAGCCCAGCTGCTCCGTTTACTCGGGAGCGGCCGAGGAAAAGCGAGGCGAGATGAGGGAGTTGGGAGCAGGGGCGCTTACAGTTCTGTTGGTGATAGAGCTCCGCCTTTACTTTCTCTTACCCAAATCTTTAACGCCCGGATTTAATTTAACCCAGGTCTGACACTGACTACTTGGGGCTGGTTTCCATGGTAGAAAACTGCCTGAACCGACATGAACATTTCGGCAAGGCAATGGCAATTAAAAAAAAAGTAGAACTCATCGCGGTTCTTGCGCTGGAAAATATTAGTAAGGGGCTCCTTCTATAGAAATGAAGAAAATTGCATTGGGTATGTTCGTGCGTGTTAGAGAAAGCGGAGAAAAGTGAAGCGGGAGGAGATCCAAAATAATATCTAAACGCTTGATCGGTGCGACGCCTCTAAAGAGTGTTTGCATAAAGTCTTTCACCCAGGCTGACCGCCCGACTATCCAACGCCTTACTGTCACGGAACGAAATCGGTTTCTCACCTTTCTTCTTGCAACTAACTATCCTTTGGGGCTCAGCAGAATCAATTTCACATGACTGGAAAGAAAAACCAGAGACGTCTAGAATGTCAAGAGTTGGACTCGGAAATAATCCGGAAGATCAAATTCTGCTCCAAACTGCTGTTTCCCCCCCTTTAGCTGTGTTAATACAGCAATACTTATAGATTCCAAACCATAACATTATAACTGTAAATATGTGGCTACTTTACAGAATTCTCCCCTGCTCTTTATCCACGGTCGTATTTAATTTTAGGCAACGTTTCTAAATTCTTTGCTCCTTCTTGATTTCCAATAAAGCGAGTTTTTTCTGCCCACTCTATAATCCAGAACTGAGAATTTTCAAGAATACTAATTAGTCAAAATAAAATGGAATGTTATTTTTTCTTTTTAAATGATATTACTGCAGAAAAAAAATATGGGGATTGGTAAATATAAAATCTTAGAAGCATAAAGAATGGCATTCTTCTTGTAAGGAGAATGAAGCAGAAAAGGAAAGAAAATGGCTTAAAAATATTGCTTTGGCTGTATCTGCTTTGTGGATGAAAAATAAATTAGTTGTACTGATTGTTAAATACCAGTCCAAAAAAGAAGATGATAACAGGAAACACTGAGCTATTAT